CAAATCCTTCACGTCGTCTCTCAAGTTCCAATAAAATTGACTCATCAATGCTTCTTCGTCCCAATTAATGTCGCATGCTAATTGTATGAAATCTGATGTGTAGACTAACGCAGAGCGTGCCCCTTGTTGTAGCGACCAGATCTTTGTTGTAGCCCATCGTGCCTTGTCATGTTTGCCAAATGCTTCCGCAAACATCTCCAAAAAAGTTTTGAAGTTGTTCAAAATTGATGATCTTTTCTCAAATAAAGAAACAAACCATGATAGAGCTTGTCCCGTGAACAAAGTTCCAACTAGTCCAACATGTGACTCCTCCATCGAATAACGTTCGGGCTTTAAAGCTGTTATCAATCTAATTTGATTGACAAAACCTTGAAACTTGGAACGCGTACCATCAAACTTATTTGGAAGGCTAATTCGGGGCTTCTTTCGTTGTAAGACCAACGATCCTTGTTAAACTAGAGGCAAAGCTACTTCTCTTGGTGCTGAAGCTTGAGGCTGGTGAATCCTCGATTATACCATCCCGAATGCTCCATCATTATGAAGTTTTGTAATTATTCCTTCAATCTCTATAGTTCTCTATGATAACGTAGCAAGAGCATTCATAATGGTGTCCAACTTGGACTCCGAACTTTGAGCCATACTAATACCTTGACCTCCGGCTATTCTAAGAGAAGAAAAGAAATGACTCTACAAGAAGGCAGTATTGGTTTAGAAGAGCTTACTCCAGAAACCTCTAAAATGCCTTAAAACCTTCAAGAAGAGGGATAATCCTTTCTCTCCAAGAAAGATAAGACTCCAATATTATAATAGAAGAAATATCAGTTTAGAAGAGGATAATCTACAACTTCTAAAATGCCAGCACCTTCAAGCAAAGGGATAATCTATACTTTAACAAGTAAGAACTAGCTTTGATATGAAAGATGAGTGTAGTCCCGATAAATTGTCACAAATTTAGAATACTGATTGGAAATCTAAACAAGAAACTAAAGAAGAATTGGCAAGGACTAGATTAATCAGTTGAGTACAAGAACAATACTAGAGAGATAAGCTAGAGCTCCAAGAGGTGTGTTGTCAAGATTGAGGATCCTCTCAGTCTCAGCTCTTATATATACTACAAATTAGGAAACTTCTCAAGCAGCTTCTACGAGTTAGGAAGCTTCTCAAGTTGCTTCTACGAGCTTGAAAACTTCTCAAGTAGCTTCTATAAACTACAAAGCTTCTCTAGAACCTTCTAGAATCTTCTACAACTTTCTAGTGTATGTCCTTGATAATTGATTGAGGTCATTTAGGCATTTGGTCAGATATGGCTTTAGACTCTTTTTTTTAGTTAATTTTGGTTGATTTTTCTTGTTATATTTTGTTTGGTTCTATTCTTATTTACTCAGTCTTATCTTTTATGTTTCATTTTGTTTATTTACTTTCAGTTTTGTTTTCATGTACTTGAGCTTACGTTGTGTCAAGATCTTTATTGTTATGAAATTGATAAGATTTTAGACCTTCGAGAATCTAGTCTTGTTTCAGATGCTACCTTAAATAGAACTTGACTTGTTGAAAAATCCTCAAAATTTTGATCTCGTTCTATCAAACTTATTCGGCATACTAATTTGTATTTCCATCGTACTTGTAGAAGCAAAACTTCTTAGATTTGGTTGTAAAGTTAATTTATTGGTTTTCTTCAATTCTACAATTTCTTGTCATAGGCTTTTAACTTCTTCCATAGACATAGGATTGAAGTTTTTGTGGTTGGCACTAATGATGTGTGAAATTTCTACTCTAAGAGTATTGACAAATTTGTAAAGATTTGCAATAGTTGTAAATCTATTCTCACTTCTATAAAGTATAGAATCCATGATTTTTCTTTCCATTTCAAACAACTTAACAAATCCCCAAGTCAAATTAGAGAAGGATAATTTGTAACTTCTAATATCAAATGAAAATTTCTACAAAGAGAGATAATATACTTTTTTTAAGGAAAAAAAAATCAATATTAGAAAACTAAATAGTTTTTGTAAAGATGGATACTTTGTAACCTTCAAAATATAATAATAGAAGTTGAATAATCTACTCACTTTCAAAATAAGACAAAAATAAAACATTAATACTCTCGTCAAACTATCAAAGATATGAAGCTCAAAGAAAGAAATCCTCAATACACTTTTATGTCACTTAAAAGAATTAAAAAGTCACTCAAAGATGATATAATATTAAACTAGAATGGCTATTGCCAAAAAATAAAATAAAATAAAATAAGACTAAAGACTATAAAGGCATTGACAAAAAGGAAGAAGGCTTCATTCTTGCCTCCATATATACTCTTAACTAAGAGCTATATGGTGATATCTTATAAGATCTCTAAAACATGTTGACTTTGCAAAACATATATCTTAATTGGCAAGGCAAGTTTTCTATATGTACGTGATATAGTTAGCTTGTTTTGCAAGCTATCAGCACATGATTAACTTATTGACCAAGTTTCTATCCTATCAATCAACTACAAACACATATAAAGTCAAAGCAGTGTCTATGAAGCTTTTAAACAATTTCTCTAGAAAATATTATGAAATAAATCTACTTTTATTTATTTCTACTTAATCATATAGATAAATATCATAATAAATATGTATGTCCATGATAGAGCCCTCTTGATGGTTTGCACTATATGTTTTGTCAAACCATCTATTTTAGAATGATCTTGCAATATAGTCTTGTGATTAATATATATTTATTGCAATAAAGTAAGAAACTCATCTAAAAATTTTCTATCTTACTCAATTGACACCTCAATTGTTGCTTCAAAGCAACTTAGAACCTAATTAAAGAAAGCATAAGTCTTTTCTTCATTAAACTTATCAAAAAATATAAGAAAACTTATCCATTTAATGAAGTATTTAATCATCATCAATACGTATTTATTATACTTTTTAATGATAGGTAATGACTATGCAAAATCCAAATTCTATTGATATCTAAAGCTTATAATATGCAAAGGTCGTAAAATAGATTTTGGTGCATTTAATGAAATATAGACCTTGTTAGACACTTGGTATTTAAAAACATGTCATTTTTTTATTTTTTAAATTTTTTTGTATAGCAATCCGAGAATATCAACTTTGTAGAAGAATATAAGTTCTCTTTACTCTAAAATATTTCAACTCTTCATTAATATGAAGCACTATCTATTCAAGTTCTCATAGCCTTGATACCACATGTTTTCTTCTATCTAACATCTTCTTCAATAAATGAACCTTCTTTCATTCAATCCATTTGATTCATTGTAAGATCTTATTTCTATCTTTAGAAATTATATTAAGTAGTAATTCTCTCTTCGTTAAGTAATTTAGAACTAGTCTATTTTAAAAAACATCTTTGGTGCCTATGATTCTTTTCTTCGTACTATTAAATAGAAACACCTTTTGATGAGTTTCTATTCATTATCAATAAACTTAAGCACAACAAAACATGATATTTAGGCATTTCTTCATTAACCTCTCTAATATGCTACTTTGCTTATAAAGAATCTTTTTAGCTCAAATATAGATTTCTATTTAATCTATTAATAGTAATATTTACTAATTTTATGATGTGCACAATCTTGAAGTCATACTTTTGTAATATCAAGGTTCACCTTGTAAGTTTTTCAACTAGTTTCTTAGATTCTATAACATATTTAAGTAGTTGATATTCATTACTAAGAAAAATTGACTACTATACAAATAACATTGAAAGTTTATAATTATCCAAATTACAACTAAACATTCTCCTTCATATGAAGTATACTGAACTTTGGTATTGTTATTTGCTTTGTTGGCATAAGTCATTACAAATTACTTGCCTTCATTATTTTTTTGAGTAAAAACAACTTCAGTGTGGCAATAGTAAAAGATTAAAAATATATATATAAAAAAGAAAAGAAAAGAAAAGAAAGACAAAGTTAAATATAACAAATAAGAAGAAGCTAAATTTTTTACTATGTAAAGAAAGTCCTTGCATTTTACAATGTTGTCCTATAACAATGACAAAGCAATAGTATGATGACTTAGTTAGTTTGGTTATATCAATAGCATAGAGTGTTGCAATTGAGTGAAAGATGTTACGAATCAAATCAATTCTTTGAAGAAAATAAATTCTTTGAAAATTCATAAAAATGGCATTATAGAAGGAAAACAAGTTCAAGAGAGAGGATACAACTACCAAAGTTATCCATTTAATTCTTCACTTAAATTATATAATTTCACTCTTTTATTATTAATTATGTGATAAATATATAAGTATTTGACTTAGGAACAATCTCCATTCTAACAAATATTATCTAGTAAGCAAAAAAAAATAAAAAAATAGTGAAGGGATATAAATTTGACATGGTACCTTTGTAAGTTCACAACAATTATGCATTAGAAGTGGCAGGGTTACTTTGCAGAGGGACAGAATAGAGCATGAGGATTGAGCATTGCAATTTGTGAATAGAAGTGTTGAATGAGTGAGAGTGGAGGAGGACGAGCTGCTCCTTTCAAATGGGTCCAACACCAAGACCTTTAGGGCTGTGAAGGGATCCCTGAGCAGGCATGGTCTCTCGTGAAACAAAGCATGCCTTGTTCGTATTTCCACCTCCAACGCATGCCACGTCCCTTGAGTTCACAAGACCCGGAATGGACGTGGGGAGGCAATAATCTGTACACATATATATACATATACAATATTACACACATACATACAGGCATAAATCAATACAAAAACACATACATACAGGCATAAATCAATACAAAAACACATACATACAGGCATAAATCAATACACAAACACAAACATACATGCACACGGACACACTGACAAGGATTCGAATCCCACAGTCAAATGCAAACTCAGATTGGGCGAAGTGAGAGCCCCAGTCCATTCCCTCTCCAAGTCCATTTCCTTTCTGTGTACGTACAAGAGTACAAACGGAGACCGTGTGTACAGCAGAAGAAGAAGAAGAAGCCTGACGAGTAGGACTATTCTGTGAGAGGGGAATAATTGTGCTTCTATCACACCCCAACCATCCTCCAGGCCGGGTTGCGGCTTCTCCGCCTTGTGACCCATCTCTGGCTCGCTCTCTCACTCTCCCTTACAGACAGGCACAGACAGGCACAGACAAACAGACCGAGAGGGAGAGGGAGAGAGAGAGAGAGAGCGAGAAGTAGTAGTGTATTTCTCTTCCCCTTGTGCTCTCCCTCGCAGTCTCCCTCTCTCATGTACTGCATAGCTTCCTACCTACATAAGTATCTACATGCTCATGCTCGTCCACCACGGATACTCGCCCCCTCTCTCTCTCTCCCTCCCTCTCCCTCTCCCTCTCTCGCGTTCTTGCAATTTCTGATTGTTCCTTCTCCAAGTGTCGCTAAGCCCCGCTGCTGCTGCTGCTCCTCCTACTCGCACTCCTCCCCCTTGCATTGCATTGGGATGTGTGAGGTGGCACTCCATCCCTCTCCCTTCTACCATCCAGGTGCATCGCTCTATCGTTCCCTCCCTACTCCTCTTTCTCTCTCTCGCTCTCTCTCTCTCATCTGCATTGTTCGATCTATCATGCCCTCTTCCTCTCCTTCCTTCCACCTCTATTGCGCAACCCAAGCGGATTTACCTTCGCGTTTTGGTTCGGTATTTGTTTTGTTTAGTTTTTTCTTCCCCTCTTTTTCTGTTGAAATTCTTCTTCCTTATCTCACCTGCTTCTTCTTCTCGATGTGCTCAACTTTGCGCTTTTCCATTTTTTATCCTGTGTTGGGGAATGTTTCACAGATTTTTAGGTTGAAAGTTAAAAAAAAGAAGCAGTCGATCTTCTCTGTCTATGAGAATCATTTTGGATTTTCAATTTTATCGCAGTGTGAAGTGAACCTGTTTCGTTATTTTCTTAGGGTTTTCTTAATTATCTCGGTAGTGAAGCGGGCGCTGCCCATGCCATGAGCAGACTGTGCTTTTCCTTACTTCGATTCCTCGTCCTCAGGTTGGCCACTTAAACCGCATCACTAGGTGGCTATGGTGAATGCGGAAGTCTTCGACTCCTTCTTCCGTCTAGCAGATCTCGACAAGGATGGTCGCATTAGCGGGAAGGAGGCCGTGGGATTTTTCAAGGGTTCGGGCCTACCTCAGATTACCCTTGCGAAGGTTGATTACCCTCAAACCTTACTCATTCTTCTGCCCGCTCTGTCCCTAATCTCTACAATCTGTGCGCTTCGATTGAGGATTTTCGTGTGTTCCGGGAACAATTATGATCTTGATTGTTCTTATCTGGATTCTGAGAAAGAGATAGATGGGATAAGTTCTGTGATTTGTTGCAGATCTGGCAATTCGCCGATCAGGGACGGACCGGATATTTGTCTCGAGTGGAATTCTGCAATGCATTGAAGCTGGTGACCGTGGCGCAAACAGGGAGAGAGATTACTCCAGAGCTAGTGCGTGCTGCGTTGACAGACCTTGCTGCTGCACAGATACCGCCTCCGAGGATTGTCATGCCTGCAGAACAGCCTGGTGTACCTGACAGTGCGCCTGCACAGGTTCCCACCTCGCAGGGAGTTCTACCTCCGGTCTACTCTCCTGCGGCTCAAGGGGTTGCCAATCGACAGGAAGCACAGTCTCGTAGCGTTCAGGTTAGCAGTGGTGGTGTAATGCCTGCGGGATTGCAGGGTAATGGTTTGGCAGGTTCACAGGGAATGTACGGTGCTGCTCTGTTCCAGAAGTTTTCCCCGCATACGAATAGCGCGCCAAGTGCACCGTTACCTCAAGGTGGCATCGGAGGACCAGCCAGACGTTCAGGCCCGCAGGCGAACAGCCTCTCGACCGGAGGCGCTGGGTTACCGCGCCCGATGTCTCAGACGAGTAGCGTGTCGCGGTTTCCATCTGCAGATCAGGTTCAGGTAGCGCCCACAGGATTCACTCAAGGTTGGGGGAGACCTCCTGCTGGTGGAGCGCCAGCGAGACCATCACTGGGGACCTTGTTATTTTCAAACTCTTCATGGCCATTGAAGGAGGCCAATGTTCCTGGTGCAAGCCAAGGCCTGGTTTCCACGAGTGAGTCCTCGTCTCCAAGTGCGATGTCGGCACCAAGGTCGGGTCAGTCTAGGTCCTTGACGCCGGTTTCTTCTAATGCTGGCGGTAGCGCGACGTCTGCAATGCATGCTTCGACTGTGAATTCCAAAAATGATGATGTTATTGGAGGGGGTTTCGATTCTGGGATTGACCTGTTTGGCAGCGGGTTCAAGGCCGCTCCTCCGAATGGCATGCCCAGCACTACACCAGGGTCTACTTCCATCACTGCGGACATGTTTTCGAGAAGCCAAGCAGCGAAGCCCGCCCCACTTGCTCCTCCTGCGCAATCCGAATCTACTTCCGTGACCCCTGCTGCTCAAACCAAGCCGTCTCCTCTTGATAAATCTATGTTCAGCGCTCCTGTGGTTCCGTCTGTGCCAGTATCATCACGAGCTCTCGGTGTTGCTGGAGTTTCTCAAGGTCTACCTCAAAATGGATCGATGGGCATTGGTGCTGGAGCTGGGCCGAGGTCACCGGGGATTCCTGTGATGGAGGGCTCGTGGCCCCAAATGTCGGTCAACGACGTGCAGAGGTATACCCGAGTGTTCGTGAAGGTGGACATAGATGAAGATGGAAAGATAACAGGAAATCAAGCCCGGGAACTATTTTTGAGTTGGCAACTTCCTAGAGGTACTGTGAAAGGAGCGTTGATGTGTGTATTCGGTTTATGACGTGTTTCGAGCGTGGACGGCTGATAGGTAGGTCTCGGGGCGGGTTCTAATAGGATGTTTGCCTCTTGGTTGTTTCAGGAGTTTTGAAGCAAGTTTGGGATCTTTCTGACCAAGACAATGATAGTATGTTGTCATTGCGCGAGTTTTGTACTGCACTTTATTTCATGGAGCGGTTCAGGGAAGGACGTACTCTTCCACCCACACTTCCTCCTGGCATACACCCCGACAATTTGCAAGTTCCAGCTGAACTAGTCCCTGAGGGATCTACTGGTCAAACTACTCCTATTTGGCGACATATACCAGGTCTTAGAAACTCTGAAGGCTTCTGCCAGTATGACTTTGGAGTGCCTTCTGTGGGCACTGTGTTGTAAGAGGCTCGAATGTGATGGTTGGTGTGTACCTTGCAATGTTGTGATCTAATAGTGTAGTTTGGTATGCTGGGCAGGTGCTCCACAGCCAGCAGTTTCTGCTGCGGGAGCGAATGTTGTAGGTGATCCGCAGCCACCGATCGAAGCCTCCAATGTGCAGCGAATGCCTGAACGAGCTGTGCCTGCTCCAGGAGAAGCAGGTCCATCAGCAGTTCAGGAGCCTTACAAGTCCAAAGTACCGGCCTTAGTGGAGAATTTAGTGAATCAGCTCAGCCGTGACGAGCAAGAAATGTTGAAGACAAAGCACAAAGCTGCTGAAGAGGCTGACAAAAAGGTACTTCGAGGAGGTCCAGTGGGTCTGAAGGGTGTCGAAGGAATTCTCGTGTGATATGATTTACTATATTACTGAGTTGTGACGTGTATTGGCCAGTATATGCTGATTCCATCGTTTTTCAGCCAGAATGAATGGAATTTGAAGTTCGTAGTTTGAGTTGTTTAAAAGACCTCTTGTACACGTAGACTGCTTTGAACCGACGACTTCAAAGTTATATATAAAGCCCACTGAATGCATCCTACCTCCCATGAGCCGCTCAATGACTCATTTGGAGTTCCCCGAGATTAATTTGAAACGTGCAACAAAAAGAAGTTTCTGGATGAGAAGCGGTGTCCTCTGAACCATCGGCTTTGGGATGACGAGGTGATTTATATTACTCATCACGTAGAAATGAGTGCTTATGATTTTTTTATGTTTTCTTGTTGTCGAGACAGGTGTTTGAGCTTGACAAAGAAATTCAGGACTACCAGGAGAAAATTGAGTTATACCGGACAAAGTTGCAAGAAATTGTGAGTGACTGAATATGAAATGAGCGCGTTTCTTAAATGGCTTGTAAACCAGAAGATCAAGGGTGCAAAGCTGTTTTTGAATGGATTAGATTGCTCATGCCTTCTAAGTTGGCAGAAATTCAACATATTTTAGTTATCAAGAAACATTATCTGTGGTAAGGTTAGAATGTGGGACTTTGAATTGGCTTATGGTTTACTTTGTTCGTTGCGCCGTGTACTTATGATAAGTTTCTTGGAATGGATACCTTTCTGTCAGATTCTATTCAAGAGTCGGTGTGACATTGAACTGAACGAGGTGAAAGAGAGGGTTGCTACAGAAAGGCGCGAGGTTTGTATACTCAGTTCTCCTTCTTAGTAGATGAAATGAGGTGATTTGTTTTTGTGCATAGTTGTGATTGATGGTGCTGTTTTGGTTTGTAGTGAACTGAATGCATTCAAAGTAAGGATTCATGCTATCTTCTATGTGGATTTAAAAATTATGTGGCAATGTGCTGTTGTTTAGATTGATACACTGGGTAAGAAGTATGACCAGAAGTTCAAGCAAGCAGGTGAAGTCAGTTCACGGTTGCAAGCTGAAGAAGCAGCCTTCCGAGATATTCAGGTTTGCCATCGCTTGCTTTAGTTCCCAACTTAAATTTTGGAATGATTGCAATTAGGATGCATGCAAAATAACTAGTTAGCCTTCATGATTCTTATGTAAGAAAGTCAACGTCTCTCATAGAAATTACCTAATAACTCTTTTGTTGTTCAACATGATTTCTTTTCAATATCATTGCTTGAAGGTTGAGAGTAACATTGTCAAGAATCTAAATTGGTTTATTGTACACATGCACATATAGTGTTAAGATAAGGAAGTGTTTATCTCTGTTATAATTCTGTGTTGCAGGAAAAAAAGATGGAGTTATATACTGCTATTGCGAAGCTTGATAAGGGTGGTGATGCCAATGAATCTCTTGAGGTTAGCTTCTAATTGTTTATCCCATTTCGCACTGAGGTTTATTTCCAAATTTGATTTTTATTGACGGAGCCAACAAATTTGAACCTTATCTTTTAAAATTATTTATCTGATTACAACCAATTTATAAAGTTTGTGTGCATGTGCTCGAGCATGCACAGAAGCACGTATTGAAAAAGACATGTCTAGAGTAGGATGTTTCACGAGTATGTGCGTAAGCTGCTATATTTGTTATCGTATCTAATATAGTTCTTCCTTGAGTTTCCAGAATCGTGCTAGCCTCATTTCAGCACATCTAGACGATTTGAAGAAGGTTCTTTATGAGAGAAGCAGGGCGCTTGGAGTAAAGCCAAAGTCTGCAGTTCCTATAGAAGTATCCACCGGTAAGTTTTATTATTTATCGTGCTTCTTTTGTAGATCTTAGTTTTGGCTTTACCGTTGCGCTTGTGTTCATCTGCTGATTTAATTAGTTTTTGACGTCATTTCAGTACGATATGCAGGTCGTCACTTCTTGGTTTTGCACTCTTCGCTTGTTATTGCTACTGGTCCGACTGTTGGATGTTTTATAAACCTGCGACGCATCGTTTTGTACATGTTAGAGCTAACGTATTCCATTTCGAACGTCCATGATGCTCCCCAGTAGTTGCGTTTATTATATTTGAGTACTTTGATTTTCTGCATTATCGGAAGCAATTTTATCCATGTAGCAGAAATATTATCCATCAAGCTGCTGCTTAATGATCAGCATCCGGCTCTGTGAGATGGATTTATTGACATGATGAACAATTTGGCTTGTTGGGCTTTTGCTACCAGGTTTCGGAGGAATTCCTGATAATGCAATGGAATGGGTTGAAGACTGGGATAACTTCACTGATGAAGGTGCTAAGTCTTATTTGATTACTGCGTATTGAGTTTTATTTTGTTTTTGATTGTTTTCCTCCTGTTTTGGGGGTTTCTTTTTCTTTTTCTTTTCTTTTCTGTTCCAGGATATAATTGATGTTAGCGCCCATTTCACATGTGATATGGTTTGACAAAGCATTCTCTCTAAATTCGCTCAAGTATTGTGGGTTTGTTACTTATGATTGGAATTGAAGTTAAGCGGTCGTGGTTTTTAAATATTTGTTTAACAAAATTGTGTAATGATTCGTTGTTCAACATTTGATGCTGAGTGAAACCTGTTTCGGTACTTATAGGATTCACAAATGTGCGTGACATTATGGATGATATGGGTGTAGTTCCATCTACCACCAAATCTGCGTACTCGGCTCCGTGGGGTAATGGTGAAAGCCTGTTTGATGACGGCTTTGATTTCTCATCAGAGCCAACTGTGCCTGATTTCAAAGCAGGACAGGATGAGAAATCCGCCTCTACATCTGAGAAGGCTCATGCAGATTTCCGATCTGCAGAAGGAAATGATGTTTTCAAAAGTGCTTTTGACGATGGTCCTGAGCGTGATGTATCTTTATCCGATTCTCCGCACAAGTATAATGCTTTTGGTGCAAGCCTTCCTAGTGCAAGGTAAGATACAGAACACATTGCTCTAACTTCATTATTTAATATCCTCTGGATTGTTTTTGTAGGATACACAGTAGCTTTGTCACTAATCAAGAGAGTGATGCAGGTTTGACGAAGGCGAAACTGGTGGTAGCGTTTTCGGTGGTGAAGCTACCTTTGACACCATATCCGAAAGGTTTGGTTATCTTTACCTTCCCCCCTACTTTTCTTGTGTATCCATCAACGATATCCATTTTTTGTGTGGGAACTATAGTCTTGCTGTTTTGGTATCTTAAAGCATTTCAATCTTATACTTGTTTCTGTGTAAGAAAATAACGTATTTTTCTCCCTGCTGTTCCAGTGGTTTTGGCCTAGAACGGAGTACCTTCGATTCTAAAGATCCCTTTGGTGATAGCCATGGAGCGTGGGCTTTTAACGACGATTCAAACGCAGATTCTCGTGCTTCTTGGGGACAGTCGAGTAGTATTGTCCCAAGTACTCAGGTAGTGCTTCTTTGCTTGTGTAATACACTAGTTTCCGCTGAGTATTTTATGGAATTAACATTACTGGAATATCCTTTTGAAGTATTTTGTTGGACACTCGCTTTGAAGTGTCCATATTATCCGATTTACGCAATTTTTCCCAAGTCGAAGCACTAATGAGATCGTCATACCATTTCATACATTGATATTGTAGAAGGCTGTGCAACAGTTGCATTCGGTTTTGAACTCATAAACCCTAAGCCCTAAACCTGCTCGCTAAGGTTTTACTGCATATATTTTGCTTCGTCCTTTTCAGACTTCTGAAAAAAAATGTAGTTTAAATCATACAATGAAATTAATGCGGATACTTGCAGACCTCCATGGACTTAACCAGCTCACGAGGTCAAACGCGTTTTGGAAGGGAACCAGGCTCCATCGTAGACACTCTTGATCTGGATCCCCTAAGTGTTTCAAGCCCCACGGGCATCTTGTTTGACGGGTCAATCCGGGTTTCTAGTTCCAGCGGTTTCGATAGCCCTAGGAGGGAGTCGGTTTCAAGCCCAGGCGCGAAAGGATTCGGTGGACTGTCCAGTCCTGGTTGGAGTTTCGACCGGAATGGAAATGGTCATGATGATTACAAAAGTGCGTTTGGGGCATTCGACTCCCCCAAGTCGAACTCTTTCGGCTCTCCCAGGAACACATTTGGCTCTCCTAAAAATACTTTTGGTTCTCCCAAGGACTCTTCTTCGTTTTTTGGTAACTCAAGCTTTGACGCGACACCGTCATTTTTCAGGGGGAGTCCAGGGGTCTCAAAGAGAGAGGATCCATACGGTGGTAACAGTTTCTTGCTGTTTGATTCATTTAGAGGTCCTGGAAGTCCTGCGGCTCCAGCCAGCGCATCAGGTTTGACTTATTTGTCAAAGCCCTTGGGAGTATTTGTCAAAGTACTTCTTATTGCTAAAATCAAATGTGCAAATTGTAATTGTGCTTACTGCATGACCTTTGCATAATCATTGTTGAATCGCTTTGTTTGTCAATTTCGCTTTCTGGATCTGAATCACTGTTTTTTTGTTTTTCACCAGAAGGAAATGACGATCACAGCATATTGAGGCATGACGGAGAGAAATCCATGCAAAGATTGGACTCCTCAAACAGTATGAAGCCTGACCGCAAGCATGGGTTTGGTTCTGATAATGGTTCCGATCCTTTCGGTGCATTTGGTGGCTCGGGACCCTTTAGTGCAGGAATAGCCAAGCAGACTAACGTGTGGAGCGCATTTTAGCATCCTCCCTGAATCCGACATTGTGCTTTAGTTCCTACTTTCGATGTTTAGATGTTTATGGACTAGGACTTGGATCGCAGAGGGAAAGCTTTAACAAGAAATCAATTAGTTAAATTTTGTGGAATGTTTCGTTATCACTTCTCTACCTCCAGATTCTTTCACATTTTTATGACTGCAGATTACATACCTAGTCAAGCTGACATCCTCCGAGGGTCATTTGACGATCCTGATTGGTACCAGCAATTGCAGTAATAACGGTGAGTGTTTGTGTGGAATTCATGACCCGCTATTCCACCTGGCTCGGAATATTTCACATATCGATTGCTCCTTGGCTGCCGTCCTTCCTACTGTCCCCTTTCTCTTTTATGTTCGCCTTCAGTTGCTCTTTCAAACGTCTCTGAAGGGGCTAGGGCAGCTAAAGATGGAGTATCCATCATAGGGGGAATTGTCTCAGGAGGACGCAATGCCCATCGTATAGCTCATGCGCTGAAAGTCGCTGGAGAACGTGGGCTATGGAAAGTGTTCCAGTGGTAGCAATCGTTTTGTACACCTTCGCGAGTATGCCCTGCTCCGACTTGAAGTCATTCCATCTCATCGGAAAGTCCCACTTAACTTCCGCTTCGCGAACCTCTGTCCGTTTCTCCAGTTCTTCTAAGATAATTTTTCCATGGGCTTCTAATTTTGAAGTTATAACAAGACCAGATGTTGTTTGTGTGCCTTCATTTAATATTCTTCACTAATTTTGCTTTATTTTCTTTCTCTTCTCTCTGTAGGTTGCATTTTGGCCTCTTCATTCTGTATTAGAATTTCACCAACCCATTCTCATTAATTGTTTCTACCAACGATTCAAAATTTACAAAGCCGTAGGAGTTCTGAAAAGATGCATGAATAGATTAATGGCAAAAACTCGAGGCTCACAAGCAAGCTTGAACAAGATTTCTACCCTTTTGGCAATAAAGGATAATGGCCACATCTTGCCATATTTTGAATGTCAAGCCAAACAGTTCCCACATCCTTTGTAACTCTTTGTCAAAGCAGCAGTCATTCATGTAGCGGATGAGCTTCTTTCAGATTATTGTTTGTTGCCCAAGTAAACTCCTCAAAGTTCGTAATGGTGTCACTGTCAAGAGTCTCTTGTTGAAGTGGAGTATATCAAGAAACAGTGTGAGTCATCCAAAGTCAGAATATAGCATTACCACTCAAAACTTGATTCTATTGAATCCAGGTGAAATGAAAATGGTATGAGATAGATTGTTGATAGAACAGTCAAATGTGATGTTTGTTAAGGTTGCAATTTTCATAAAATTCATATACATGCACACATATAGTGACCTTCAAAATTTTCCCAATGTTTATACTTGTCTCATTCAAAAAATAATGTAGGTACTAAAAATTCATGGAATGGAATGTAGTAAATTTATTAAAATAGTACATATAATGCACTTTTTTCTTACAAAAATTACAAAAAAATCTAAGCACTCAATAAAAAGAAAAAAGGTCCTATAGCTACTCTATATATTGGGACAATTTTGAAGGTCCAGCATGGAAATTCATCATCACTTTGTCCATTTTCCTTTGGCTTTCAATATAGTTGCTATTTGTCTAGGCATTGTTTCTACAAGTCTCTTGCAATTATCAACAATCATAGTAGAGAAGGTTTCTTCTACACAAGACCATAATTCAAGTATTTCTTTTGGAAAAATAACATATTGATTTAATCTCCTTTTCAAAATGGTCTAAAGATTTTCTCTAAGATTTTTTGATAACCATGGTGATTAAGGTGACCTTCAATTTTGTGCATCATGCAAAATCCATGTATACGCATACATCCCTATATTATCACAAAACCACCACCATGCTTAGTAGTTGAAATAATAGTCCACTCTAATAGTTCTTGTGGATCATGAACCCAATATCGAACTCTTCCATCTAAAGAAAATCTCATCTGTGAATATCACGTAACTCTAATCATCAGTAGTCCAATATTCATACTTTTTGGTAAATTCTAAACTAGACCTAATATTTTTATTTGACAAATGTGGTTTCTTCCCTTTCACATGTAATTGCAAATCTGCTCTGTGAAGTGCATAGCACACAATAACTTCATTGAGTTATATTCCAAAAAGTTCTTTCACCTATTTAGTAGCTTCTCTTGCTGTGGATACCTTTTTTGTAGTTATACTACTTACACAAGACCACTCCATTTGATTTCACAACTTGTGTGGTCGATCTCCAACTAAAAGATTTGCATCTAAAAAATGCTTCTTATAGAACCTTTGTACACTTGACTTACCAACATACAAAGAATTTGCCACCCCTCTCACACTATAGCCTTCGTGAAGCAAAGAAAGTACATTTTGTTGCTTCCTTTGCAACAATGGTCTCACCATTTTTTCTTATGAAGTAAAACACAAGAACAATTGATATGTAATTATGTGCATGCAACAAAACAAAAACCAAGTAATTTACAATGCATCTACTTTTTAATTGCTATGCTTGCATAATGCATTGACATCAGCCTTCAAAATTGTCCCACTAAAGAAAAAATATCTAGGGCTTCAATCCATGCACATGTATGTAGAGAAGTGCCAAGACTTGCACCTCAATTACCTTACTGATAATAGAAAGTAACTACATTTTTTCCATGTCACTTAAACATGCAATCACTAATTGGTGACTCACCAAAATTTCAAATTAGAAACATTGGGACAGTTTTGAAGGTCATTGTAAATACATACATACATACATACATACATGAATCTAAAATTTTAATTCTTTAATTTTGATTTTTTATCTTTTTAATGAATATATGTGTATATATAATTATGTGTGTAAATATATATATATATATATATATATATATTCAAATGAGGCATTCCATAATATAATCACAAGTTTTTGCAACATATTCACATTCATGTAATAGAGAATATGTTGGTGATGTGCTGAGAACAAAAGTTGTTAATGGAAAGTTAACAGTATTGCCTCAAAGTTGAACAAAGCTTTAAACTTATAAAAAATTAAAAAAATAATAAAAAAAAAAAAAAAGTAATGGAGGATTCACATGGTAGCTTTGAGTAGGATTTCACATTTAATTTCCACATTTCTTTGAAGTAGTAGAAGAAGTAACTTTTGAATATATCAAAGGGTGCTGTGGAATCTAGTATTTATAATAGTTTCATTGGATGATATGGTGTAGATTTCTAAAGCATAAAATATTGGGCTGAATTGGGCTTGAAATATTAAGTATACATGGTTAGATGACATAAACTGTAAAACCCTAAAACCTAAAAAACATAGATGTCAAAGTCTGCATGATGTATGTATCTCGGGAGCCACACATGACACCAATATTATTATATATACATGCACACACACACAATAAAAACAAATTTCAGCCAATATCTTTCAATTAGTGATGAAAGTTATGGCTGGTTTAGAAATGAACTATTATTTTATTTTGAAGACTTTGTATGTGTTTTATTTTAAAATAACAAAAATTCAAAATCAACAAATGCACTTGAGTCCTTAATTATGACAATGTTATATTTTGAAATAAAATCATAATATTTAACCAATCTAAATTATTAAAATAAAGTATTACAATATATGCTAGCAAATAAATCTAAACAAACTTTATCAAACAATATAATATTATGCATGTACAGCCTCAAAGAAAGGAAGAAATAGATTAATTAATCATAATGATACATAATAAAATAAGAAGTCTTTGGAATAGTTGTTATTAATATCAAATAAATTAAAAAGTCCTAGATAAAATTGGAGTACAAACAAAGAATATACAAAATTAAAAATGGTCTGAGTTTTCTCTTCATATTTACTAGATAGAATGGAGGTTATATAGAAAGTTTACTATAAACAGTGAGCTTGCAGGCTTAATATCTAAATTATACAATACTTTCAAGATAGCTTTTTAGAAATAATAAATTTCTTGGAGAAGTTAACATAGCTACATAGTGCAATAAAACATCCAATTCATGTTTAGAAAGTTAACTTTATATTTATTTCCTCTTATGTAAGTAATATGCATGTTCATGACATTATATAAATCACTTAAAGCTTTAGTTTGAAGTTATAATATATGGCAATGGATATATATTTTTTATTTTAAACAAAAACATTGTACAAATTATAGATTATAAAAATAGTATATTTTAAATTTTATTCTATTTTTAAAATGTTATTTTAAAAATTCTTTACTTTTAAAATAGATTTAGGATGCACATGTAAATTTTATTATAAAATTTGTAAAGATTGTAACATTTAAAAATATAAATCTAATACCATATATTGTAAAACATGTTAAAACATACTTTTAAATTTAATGTTTAAAAGTTTGTTCAAATCTACTGATTATTTTTAAAATGTGTTTAAAATATATTACATTCTTTTTACAAAATAGAAATAATATTTTACCAAATAATTATCATGTTCAAAACATTTTCATGTTTATTTATGTTCCACACCTAAAAATTAAAGAATTCAAGAACAAATGTATTTAAGAAGTTAATTTTAGAACAATTCACATGCTATTTGCATCCAAACCACACCAGTTTCATTTTTAAGATTTTAACAACGTAAAATCCGAAGTTTCCTTTGGTCAATCAAAAGTGACATATTCTTAATGACATCGCAGTCTCAAATGCTTGATACGTGATATGTATTTTTAATATCAAAATATTAATCCGCATATCAAAAAGCAAAACGTTTTGGATTTGGGTAAGACATTGATTACCCCTTCTCCCTAGGGGTCAAACACCAACTTATCCAAATCAAATGGTAGAAAACTTGGCAATGTGGAATTAACTTTCTAGCCTACAGAGAAAAAAGTCCTCAACTGCCACCTATCTCTTCCACGGTAAAGCTAGATTCAGATATTAGTAGGTTGAAGAACAAAAAACAGCAAATGTGTTGAGCATAGAAAGGTTCTCAAAACAAAACTCAGAAAAGATACCTCCATATACCACTACCAAGTCTCCAATGTTAGAAGTATGGTATCTTTCCTGAACAACTATTACAAAACTTAAAGACGAACTTTAACAAAAGACACCCAGTAGAGTTCTAGAGAATTATTATGAAAATTGAATATTGAAATAACTTCAAACATAACATTCACTACCAGAACACGACTGAAAATCTGACAGGCCTTCACAAGTAATATTGATTCAATTGAATTCTTCATATTGTTTGCATGTGGCGGTGCCCCTCGTATCATGTTCGAACACAATCCTCTGTTGTGTACGTCTATCAGTACCCCGGCACGCTCTGGTTCTCTATCAAGGACCTCTGGTAAATATTTTCACGAGATCAGAAGAATCAAGGAGAACATCGCCGACCAATTCTGTAGCCCACTCAGTCGGCATTCTTACAATAAGGTGCATTAAATGATAAAACTGCATATGCTGCTCAAGTTGAAAAATGTGAGCAACCTTGGCGAAAAAATATGCACCTTGAAAAATAGCTCCCCGGCCATCACTAGTGGCATTGCATGCAGAAATTTGTTCTCAAGGAATGTGAACACAATCCATTATTCCACATAAACACCATCACTTGGTTGATGAGCCATATTTTAAGTGCTAAACCTACGGAAGTCTGGTGTCAACCTGAACAGTGATCACCAAATTCAACGGACCAGATCGTACAGTTCCTTCAACATGTCGATCACTTATCATACAAGGCAAGTGTGAGGCAATAATATGTATAAACGACCAAGAGGACATGACTCACAATCTTGCCGAAGACAAACGTGGTGCTCACCATCACTTGGAGATGAATGCCCCAGGTGTGAGGGACGAAAAATCGTAATCGGCACCTTTAAGTTTTGATGAATCCGACTTACTGGAGATACTGCTGCTTTTTGAGTTCATTGAATTCATCGGACCAACAGAACTACCTGAAGTCCCATTTCCAAAATCCATTGGAGCCATTCCTGGAATAAAACCTGCCACTGAAAGCCTCTGAATCGAGCCAGCTCCAAGCAGTCTGAGCATACGCCAACACGCAGCATTAGTTGCTAGACTAGCATAGCCATCCTTCTAATAATTAGATGAAATAGTCGCCCACATCTCACTTACCCTGAACCTCCTGCAGGTAATGATCCCATACCCACTGCCCCCGGTTGAGTTGATCGAACCCCATTTGTCGTTGGCTGCAAATCGTAACAACCAAGACAAATCGGAATAAGTTGGAATCAAGTTTCTTACTGTGCTTTTGAACAGGACTCAGTCTGAACATGCTTTCATGAGGTTTTAGTTCAAACGAACTCATAGTCAGGTAGATTTTAAAAACAAAGGGACACATTTAGAAACCAGAGAATGAATGTTAGTATTTCCCAAACCCAAGGAAGAAATGATGTTTAATATACCTGTGAAGACGATGACTCTCGATTCTGAACTACTGGTTTCAACATCAAGCTGTCAAGAGCTTCGAGATCGGTGGCTGGCCACTGTTGCCCAGAAGCACTCCCTTGCATGTTTCCCACACCTGGATTTTCATCAATGCTAGTTTGGTTTTGTCCTTGCACGATTGCTGCAGCTTGCATGTTCGTCGCAGCTGTTGCTGCCATTTGCTGTTGTTGAATTGCGAAGGGGGATGCCAAGGAGGTCTATCATAATGAACAGAAGCAGAGTGTAAGAGCATTCATAAGCTGAGTACAAAATGATGTACCCCACGCTCATCGTACATTACAAATAGAGAATCCATACACAGATTATCAGATACAAGGGAACGTAGCAACGATTCATAGACTCATAGTTCTATTCTGGACATTGTGGTATGCGAAATTTCACGAACAGCATAGTAGCCAAGACAAGGAGAAGACAAGTGTTGAGTTCCGATAGACCGCCAACCAAGGCCAAAGTAAAAAAGGGATAGAAGGAGGAGAGGCCACAGCGGCTCTCTTTACTCCACGATGCGCCAAACCTAACAATCAATTAGAAAATACTCAACACACAATAACAGAGGTTGACAGGGCAAGAATGAAGTACATTATCAAAGAGGCTGAGTATACTGGTTACGTCCTTGGCAGGATGAGACGGCTTGGGCTGACTGGTTGGTTGACCAACTGTCTGAGACTGTATCGAAATAGTTGGAGAAGCTGCGATTAGATCTTCCAAATCAGCAGTCATACTGCTGTTCCTCGGTTTGGAAGAGGACGTGACGCTAGAATCACTAACTATAGTTACAGTTAAGGCAGCTGAAGTAGTTGGATCGTCAGACGTAGCTAGTGGCAAAGGTTCTGCAGCTGCAAAGTCCAAGTGCTCAATGAATGTGGTTAACAGCGCATATAGACCTCAACGAGGGAAGAGAATACGACAAAAGAGTGACTCGACAAAGGCATCCGTAACTCACATTGAAATGCAGCCCATCCATTATCATCCGCGGCAATATCACTTTCTCCATCAATGTTGAGAAGGTCGAAGAAATCTGTTTGAGCTACAACTTCTGTTCCAGGTACAATAAACGCGCTTGTCGCACTTTTCTGAGATGGACCCGCTTGTGCATCTGCTTTCTGTATGACGGCATTAATCGAAGACTGAGGTGGACCTCTCAAACTAGGAGCGCTGGGGGCAGAAGCTTTCAACCTTTCCTGCAACAAAAGCCATAGCTTACACGCAGTATGAACAATTGACAAAGAGATATACTGCAAGAACTATTTCGTATTTAAAAATTTGCAGTATTCACAGAGGTCCAAAGGTCGACGGGAAGTGCTCATGGAAGCTCCAAAGAGATGGAATCTCACAGATTGATGAAAACAGGGTTAGAGAATTAAATGTACTAAGCATGGCGTTTCACGACAGAGGGTGCGAAGAATGAAAACACCTAGATTTAAAACAAGATTTCAGAAGTGAAGAGCTTAATGAATGTCATGACGTAGACAGATATTACCTTCATCTTTCCTGCATTTAATTCAGCGACGATAGGATTGAGAATAATTGTCGGCCCACTTAAGCGAAATGCTGAAATATTGGAAGTGCCATCATACGCACTATGTCCAGGTCCAGCATAGGATGAGAGTTCTGGGGACCGCTGTTCCGATCCTCTTCGTCCACTCTCTCCATGAGACTCTCCTCTACTTGCAGCGTTTGCTGGACCACTAGTATCTCTTGCGATCCACCTCTTCGCTTCATACCTTCACAAAAAATGTGCGTATTAAAAAAATCGAAAGCTACCCTGTTGTCCGCACAACAGACTCAACTTACAGTGCATTTGAAGCTCTGAATGACCACGCTATTTTTGAACCAAATGCAAATCCCCAGCGAAGCCAATTACTTACTTCGCACGGATGAAAGCTTCAAGCCCACTGCGGTCATTCTCGCCAGGTCGCGTAAACGATGGTGGTAGTTCAGCCTCCCAGTATTCATTAGCCTTTATATTGCCCATACCTAATCCCCAAAATAGCCAATAACCACTAACTAAGACCTCCAGTCAGCATATATAATGAAAAATTCCCTCATTCAAAGCTTCAACTAAACCGCATGACGTAAATAAAAATTTACAGTGGAAATTAATATTTTATACATTAAAACGGAATGACAAGAGCACCCGGAATAGTCATAAAACGACGCAGAGACTTCATGGAAACCTACACACTTATTACAAAAAAACCATGTACACATTAACAAAAATAAGAGCCTGGAATAACATACCCTGAATGAATGCAACTTGCTCTGGTAGCCACGTGTCTAACGTTACAGATCGAACCTGTAATTTGACATACAATTTCAGAAAAACATGCAGCTTGAGGAGGAGCAAAACCAGAAGGCGGAAATAAAGCCATCAAAAACAAAATTTCTTATTCAGGATAAAAATAGAAGAAAAAAATTAAAGTAGCTTCTTTTGAAAAGAAAACTTGCTTTCTAAAAGGTGAAAGAGGAGGAGAGGGAAAAGGAGCAAGAGTCATACCCTTACCGACGTAGCACACAAACAGACCGAGAGAAACGAGACAATCCATAGAGACACACCTTTGAAACATGAACGCCAAGGCTGCGATGAATTCCAGAACACTGTATGCACACGAAGATACCCAAATTTACACTTGCCCACCTCGGCCCTCTGCAAACCAGAATGTTAACGAGGCCTATCAGATTAAAAACTTGGTTTAAGAGTAGTATATTACAAAGCAGCCAACTCACTCTCAGAATAACCGGCATACAATGATCCGGCATACAATTGGCGGAATTTACTAACTTGCTGTGGCAGTCTGCACACTCCCGATTCTCCGGTAACTTCATCATTGCCTCCAATTTCTGCAACAAGTACCATTCATATATGAGTAATTTCAGTCGAAAGTGCAACACTGTACTGAAAGAAATCCAGTTGTGCCCTCAGTCTTCGATGTATTCAGCAGCTTGTATAACATTCCATCAGGAGAGCGTTGGCCGGTAGATGTAGAGATGCAGTCCAGAACAAATCATCGACTACAAGGGGAAGAGCCAATTGAAAGCGCAATCGCTAACATATGCGAATGGGAATCAGGAAAAACCCTAACGAGATGGCAGGGACACGGGCGAATGGCCCGAAGAACAATCTAGATCAAGGAAACAAAGAGGGATTGGAGTCGTAATGAGAAGAATGGAATTCACAGGATTGGAGAAAATTCACGCGAGAGGTCCCTCCGGAGTTGAAACCGAGGACCGGATACCTTCTTTTGACGCTCATTTTGCTCTTTACTGACGAGCGATTTGTCATTATTAGTGAAGGCCATCAGCTTGAAGTAGCTGTTAAGGAGAAAGTAGAGGAATCAAGGCACGCGCCCTGCGTAATGAAATCCAAAACAATTGGAACGAGGACAATAAAAGAAAGTTGGCGCTTGGCTGTAGTTTTTTCAACCCGATTGCATCTCTCCACTCTCGAGAAGCGAGGGGGAGACGAAATGGAAGGAGAATAGCATCATCAGTGGAAGCAGAGAAGGGCAGGGCAGGATGCCATCTCTCGAAGGAGAACAGATCATCGGGAGAGGGAGAGAGAGGGAGATGGAGTGAATCCCCCTCTCCTCCGAGTCCCCCCCCCCCCCCGCTCCGCGTCTTTGGCAAGTGCAGTCAGTCAGTCAGTCAGTCAGTCAGTCAGTCAATCAATCCAGTCCGGGGTGGGGGGGGGGGGGGTTCACGCCACCATCACAATTCCCCACCTTCATTCTTCTTCTCCTGCTCCTCCTCCCCTCCCCATCTCTCTCTCTCTCTCCCCATGACTTCCTTTGCCCTGGTTCTGCTGCTGCTGCTGCAGAGACCCCCCCCCCTCCACCTGTCTCCCTAATATCCGGCCAGCCCAGCTGAGACCCGGTTCACCATGACAGCGTGGCCCGCCCTGCCTGGTATCACGCCCTGGTATATCCGACCTTCGCATTCTGGTAGTGTGCCTTATTTAAGTTTCAAACAAGTTTCGTGATCGGCACCCTGGCTCTATCATATACAACACCTCTCTGCCACAGAAGGTAAAACAAAAATAATTTAATTAAAATAAAGAAGAAAAAAATTAATATAGTTAATAGGAGCATATTCTGTTGTGGAATATGTATAAAAAATCAAATAAATAAAGATGATTACACTTCATTGGAATTGATAAATATCTATGAATATTTTTATGGAATTCAAAAGTCATGAATAAAAATTATTAAAAGGTTCACCTGTATTTATTTTAAATATCTAAATACCCCATTTAATTTCTGCTATTTAGATAATCCCATGGTTATGTTATTCTGAACAATAGTTTTACTTGTAATAAAAAGTTGACAAAGTACACTATAAAATTATTTATATTGCAAAAAAATTAAACATAATACAGTTATCTTCTTTTTTGGTAAAGCTGTACCTCTTCCAATTATAGTTTAAAACTTTTACAACTGGTGTTGATCAATCATCTTTTTCTCTACTTTAATAAAGATTTCAAACAATAAATGGTTGAAAGTTGGTACAAAAATAAAATAAAAGAAAAAGAAAATAAATATCATTGAAAGCCAGTAATAAAATCCTTTTATAAATAGTAAAATTTTGTTGATTTTAAATAAGCTATCTCAATTTATCAGTACTTTTTGATCAAACCTAACTATTTTAATAACTAATTTGTAGACTAAAGTCAAAAATTATACTTTAATTGCATTGAACTGGCCTATTATTAGTGGTGCTATCAAATGAAAATATCTATTATCTTTTTAGAACGCATTCTTTCAAGTAGATGATTAGAACTTATCTAGAAATTTACATGTTACTTTTTGAACTTGGAAATTTTACAACTTTCTTATTGGTGTATAGACCAGACTTGGAAAATATAAGATTTAATCTTTGTGACATCTCCGACCTCAGTTAGTAGAAAAGATAAAATAGACATATAAAACTGTATCAAATACTATTAACAATAGGAGATAAGACTTAATGGTGAGAGAAATTATTGGAGAGAAATACATTAAATATTAGTGAGTCATAATAGAGATAAACATAGGCACCTAAATGAATTATTCACAAATCATAAAAAGTTGGTATACAACAATCACAAATTTGCATTTGAAAAACACATCTCCATAAAACAAAGCACTCAAATATGATAATGTTGATGTTGAATGAAAAATTAGAACCATATCATTATTAAGATGTTTGAGTTATAACCCTATCGTTATTAAGGTATAAGAAAATTGTAAGCATCTCTAATATTGAGTTGTATCCATAATTACAAATTTATTGAAAGAAGTTTGTACAAAAGCATATATCTTATCTCTCAAACTATGTTAAGAAGCTAAGTAGCATAATATTCCTAATCAATCAAAAATGCTAGAAACAGAATATACAACTCCAACAAAAGCATGGATATGGTAACCAAATAGAAACCATAAACCAGAACATTGCCCGAAATTGGAAGAAATCAGACGGCAGCATTGCTGTGCTGCTTGCTTCAGGGAATAAACAACGTTGCAACACAAGTTGAATTGGGTTGGAAGCGCAAAGCAGCAGCAGCAGTAGCAACAACAACAATGAGGAGAAGAAGAAGTGGGGGAAGTGTTGTCGCAAGTCCCGCACTCCCAGGGAATGTCCACGTTCGCAGCAGAGCGGGCGTGCGTGCGTGGATCAGCGGCGCGAGACCACCGCACGGAGGCCGTGCTTCATGTTGAGCGTCAGCATGGTGCGGTACTGCATAGAGTGCCCCGGGACCACGCGGATCGTGAAGAACCGCATCACCAGCGCTGCTGTCATCTTCATCTGCAGGTAGGCGGAGTCCTTTCCAAGACACGTTCGCGGTCCCGCCTGGAAGGCCGTGAACTTGAACAAAGATTGCGGCACGAATTCCCCTTCTTGAATCCACCTCTCGGGCTTGAATTCTGCGGCGTAGTCCCCCCACAAGCACTTCATGCGGCCCATGGAATACGGCACGTACCCAACCATGCTACCTTTCTTCACCACTGTGCCGTCTGGAAGCACATCGTCCTCCGCTGCCTGCTTGCTGTCCTGTACACAACGTGTTGAGCCCTTTCTGTGCATTCTAAAACTACCAAACAACAACCATTTTGGAGCAAAGGGCCAGTGTTTGAAGTGTACAGACACTCACCAGTGGAACAGCGGGATAGAGCCTCAGAGTCTCTGATAAGGCAGCATGGAGGTAATGAAGTTTGCCAAGCTTCTCGTAAGTCAGTAGCTTGGAAAACTCCACAACTGATTCCTCTGTCAATTCTGCAACGCAATTGCAGCTCACTTTCATGAAAAGTCATCGAAAATCACGATTTCCACACAAGGATACATCAGGCAAGTTTACAACAAGACAAGTGCCCGAAGCCCGCGGAATACCTTCACTGTGCTTTCCGGCGACTGCCACAACGGTAGAAAGCTCGTCAAAAATCTTGTCTGCGATCTCGGGATGCGAACTCATCATGTAGAAGAACCAGGTCAAAGTGCCAGCCGTGGTGTCGCGCCCGGCGACGATGAAGTTCAGTATCATGTCACGAAGAGCCGTGTCCACGTAGTGAGAAATCTCTCCGCCGCGATTGCACAGGTCTGTGAGGCGAGACAAGAGGTCTGACTGCGCGGGCTGGAAGCAATGCAAACGCACTGGTTTGAGCACAACATTCTTCAACGCTGAAACGAAGCAATTGCATTCTGAGTCTACCACTAAATCTAACCAAAAGAAGAGCATGAGGGGACCCAGCTCCACACCTTTGTGTTAAAAGACGCCATCTCCTGCCTCCGCTTCTCAATAACATTATAGGTGAATGTATTCAACACTTTCACACAGTGCTTCAGCTTCCGCTCCCGCCCAATGTTGAGTGCGCGCTTCACGTGCCACAGAGGGTCTACGAAGCGGTGATAAGAAATGAAATTTGCGTCATCGAAGCACTGCGCAAATTGGATTTTCGGCAAGGACGGCGACAAGCAATCGAGCACCACCCCAAATCCAATCTTGCACGTCGTGCCGAGCGTCATCCGCATGCACATCTCCTGCAAGTCGAAATCGGCTCCTGTGGAAGCAAACCGTGAGAGGATGAAGACGAGCTTCAAGGCATATTCACGAAATACGTCGGTGCTAAAATCTCTTAACGATGCCGACGAGAATTCGTAGCTCGCCATGCGACGCTGCTCTTTCCACAACTCGCCGTCTGTGGTGAAGATCCCAACCCCAAAGAGCTCCCGCATCAGATTACAGTTGCTCTCGCCTTTGGGATAATTACTAAAATTTGTCTTGAGGAGATGTTCCACATTCGCAGGATCCACAGTGAAGACAGCAACATCAGGATATCCGAATTGAACGTAAATCGTCCGCCTATCATCGGAGAATTGTTCTAGGACCCAGTCGTGGAGTCTGTCCCAGTTCGCTGAGAGTTCAGGGAGGCAACCGATCAGAGGCCATGCAAACGGTCCCGGAAGCTTGCGTTGCTCTCGCCAGTGCCACCATATCCACGCTGCAAAACTCCATGCGATAGCTGCCACAAGAAAGGATTCCGCAGTAACCCATGTCAAACTTAGACAAGTTTTAACAGGAAAGCTTGACTCTCCGTTCATCGCAAACCAAACCGAAAACGTTTCGAGCGGACCGCCAGAGAGCATTCAGTCAGATGTTTCAGACAGATTCACCACAGCCCCCAGTCATCACAGTACTTAAAATGGGAACTTCGACATTGCAACTGAGTTCGAGTTCAGTCATCTCTCGACTGACTAGTGTACAAGCTGAAGACATTTCGCTGGGGCTGGCCTAGATTCCACACTCCATCAACACACGCATCCCCCTACGTCGTCATCGTCTTATTGGAGGGTCTACCACTCGTGGCCAATTCGTGTAGAATAGGACAAATGCGGAAGAATGCTAGAGAGAGTCTAACAAACCTCTCACTAAGCCCTGTAGGGCAGGGCAACTCGGGGAGTTGACAAGCGAGCTGATGAATAGACCTGATCGGAAACGTGGGCTCAGCACCCAGCAATATCTGACAGCGCCGAATTCGGTGGCATGAAACCGGTTTTACATGTAAGAGGGCTTCATCCCAGGAGTTGAACGACGCCCAGAAAAGGAAGCTGCGAGTGGACACGGCAGCTGCACCAGGAATGCAACAGGATCCAAACAAGGACCAGAGACAGACAGAGACAGTGAGAGAGAGAGGGCCAAGGACATGAACAGAGGCAGAGAGTGGGGGGGAGAAGGAGGGAGAAGGATCCAGTCCTACTCCTCCTCCTCCTCCTCCCCGCATCTTCTTCCCCTGCTCTGCGCTGCTCTGCTCGTCCTCATCCTCATCCTCTGCGCTGCTCTGCTCTTCCCTTCCTCCCTTCCTTCCCACTTTCCTTTCGATTCAGTGGCCCCACATTCTGAACGTGGTCTTCCTGCTCGGTTAAGACCCCCCCCCCCTCTAATCCATCCATCCACCCCTCCCTCCCTCCCTCTCCCACACTCTAAACCAGGCTTACAGACATGATCTGCCTCAGCTCCACTTCACCCCCAATTCTTCTTCCAGTCAATTTTAGAGCTTCCGTTGCTGGTTGTCGTTACATGGTCCTGGTTCTGGCATGGCATTTGCAGATGGGGGGAGCAGGATACTTGAATTGCATCACTAAAATTTCATGACATCTTCACATCATTGTAAAATGCAGCACTGGTATCCACTCTTTAATCACAGTTGGGGTAAGTAATTGCATGGGATTACATTTGTGGCACTTCCCACTGCACCATACAGATGTTTATTGTCACACTTGAATTGCACTTTCACATGCCTTCAATCAACACAGCTTGAATAGATGTACAGACATGCATCTAAGTAGAAACAATCTGAATCTGGCTTCCACCATTAGAAGATGAGCTCATTCTTCACAAAAAAAAAATTTAGAACTAAATTTGGCACTCACAAGCAAGGTGAATATGTAATCCAAATCAATTTTCATACACAGATTAGTGGTAGTTTTCAGCATTATTGGAAGTTCTTTTTTGTAAACTTCTATTCTTATTGTCTTTTATTGTTATCATAATTATTGTTAAGATTGACCTCATAAATTACAGGATCATGAATACTATTTTTCATATATTGCTTTAAAATTTTAACACTGTGTCAAGACTATTTGGTCATGTTAGTAATTTAGATTAAAAGAACATGGTTGAAATTTGAAAAAATTAGTGTCATTTGTTTCTTTACCATACAATCTATTACTTTATTGATGAATTCCATTTCCTTTGTAAAGAATAAAATCATAGAACAAAAGTACATTCTTTAAAATAAAGATTGTGAATGTTTTTAAATACAACATTTTTTTGAAACTACTTACATGATCCCAAATATTATTAAACAAGAAATATGCAAAAAAAATACAGGGGAATGTTAAATAGTCACAGGTTTTAATTAAATCGACCTACCCATGATGAAGAATATGGTAACCATGATGAATGTGGTTGGTTTTCATTGATTTTTGATCAAGTAGTGGAGAAATGAATCTACAAGTCATATTTTATTTTCATGATGGTTTAGATGGGTGAGTAAATTTAGTAAAATCTTGGGTCTATTTAACAATCCCCTAAATATAATATGTCCTTAAAAATTATAGTTGTATGATTAAACAAATAAAAATCTATCATATATATATATATATATATATATATATATACACACACAATATTATGAATATAAATATGACAACAATTATAGAAGAGTAAACACTCTGGAAATATCTGGTCTAATAAAAATATATTTCTTACAAAAAATCAACAAATTGACACTTATTCGATTTTCCAATACTGCATGTGTCTACCAATCCATATTAAAACATTAACAAAAAACAAAAAAAACAAAACAAAAAAAAACAAAACAAAACAAAACAAACAAAAACAAAACAAACATGTATGTAAAATGAATAGGAAGAATTCAGACCAGGAACGCCTATTTTAGATTAAAATACAATACATTTTTGTTGATGTACTGCATGAAATCTTGTCATTAAAATCAGTTTCTATAACTTGCCTGTTAAAACAAAATTGCATCAAGAAGTTGGGTGAAAAACCCAATTTCATGACTGATTGAATTTACAAATAAAATAAATATAAATAAATAAATAAATGCACAGAAAAATTCAAATTTTAAGCTATTACTAGAAAGTTTAAAGATAATTTTTAATTTTTAATTTTTAAGAAAAGTGTATTCATTAACTTATGTGGTGTTAAAATAAAATTGTATGTATTTTTTACTACTCATTTAAAAACGATTAATTAAATAAAATCACTATGCGCTTCAAATAATTGAAGCAAACAAAAGTGAATAAGGGAGGAATAAAAAAATTATTCATAGGTTGTGGAAAATAGACTTTTTAAGTATAATACACAAAGTATTTATTTAAAGCTTTTCTACATTAAAAAATATTGCATAAAATATTATTTAATAAATATGTATGTGTATATATATATATATATATATATATACATATACCATTAGCCATTGGATATAAATGTATTATTGTAATTTTATCTTAATACTTTTTAGTATAAATAAGAAATTTATTGTGTGTGTGTGCAAGGATGTGTGGCAGAAGGGTGTGCCCATGCACTGAAAGGAAGGCATCCACCTAAATAGTTCCCAAAATGAATATGTTTTAGTTATTAGATATAAGCATGTAATGATTTATATTCAACAAGAATTGATTATGCTTCAAAGTAAGAAATGACTTATGAATATATGTATGTTCAAATAAGATTTGTATGAAAAATTCTTCTATGAATTACATATATTTTTCTAAACTTCACCATGTCTTCTAATTTTTTATTTTTTATTTGAATATCTTATAAAGAATTTAATTTAATATCTCAATTTTTTTTTAATAAACGTAACTCAAACTTAATATCTATATACATGTATATTTATTTATTTTCTGTTTGAATTTTTTTATATTAAAAATTAATATAATATAAATTTTTATTAGAATAAATATATAAAAAAAATATAAATGAAACATAAAAATAGATTTTTAATATATATATATAATTTATTTATATTTACATATATACATACATGTGTACATATACATATGTTCGTGTCTCCTTGTATCTAACTTTAATTTCAATGATGTAAAGTAATAAAAAAAAAAAATTGTAATTATTATTCTAGAAGTTTTAAAGGGTTATGTTGTGTCTAAAATTTATAAATACTTCTAAGTTAAATTTGAAATTATCTAAAAATTTCATCTTCATGTAAAAAAATAATAAAGAACATATCATATTGTACTTATTTGTATTTTATGGCTAAAACAAAGTTTAGATAATTTTTTAAAGGTTGTAGTGGAATAGGTATCCAATTAGTACTTAATATTGGATGAACAAAAATTCTTAATGGCTTTCAATGTTGAAATAGTTTAATAATCTATAAACTCTTGATGCTTTATGATTGTTCAATTTTAATTTTAAATTTTTCTTAAAATCCCAAATTCTTAACTTTGCATCCCATACCAGTAATATTTCTAGAATGCTTAACAATTAATTGTTTATCCAACATTCATGTTTATTGACATGCATGGATAAATATACTCATAGCAAACAATACAAGAAAAGAAAAAAGAAAAAAGAAACAACTAAATCTTAGTACAAATGTTTTAGACATATAGAATCTAACATGAATGTAGAATAGTAAAATTACTCCAAAGAAAACTATAATCCATTTCACACTCAATCAACTTCCTTAACCGACATCATTTTTTACAATGCTCTGTTTTTTATTGAGGAATCAAATGCAAGACATGGTATCATGTATTAATTATCATTTATATTAATTAAAGAAAAAAAGTAACTTCATACATGTCAAATACATAGATAAGTTTTTATCTTTTTTCTTTTCTATTTTTCAAAATTTGAATGCCCATCCCAATTGACTCTGGATTTCTTCATGTAAAATGCAAGTTACATTACAATCACTTTGCAGAACGCATTATTTACAACATGAACTTCTGTACATATTCAAAGTATGCATTTACAAGCTTGTAATTCAATAAGTTATGACAGTATTCGCATTCATCACATTCTGCAAAATTAGTGTTAATGCAACTTGGATACTCAGGGAAAATGGTGTGAGAACACAAGTTTTCAAACCTTCAATTGGCTGAAATATCATTATTTACTAATCAAAGGATTAGAAGCTTGTGGTTTCTTCTCCCCTAACTGTAAAGACCTCACATACACTATTTTCTGGAGGATGTACATGAACGTTGTAGAATGCAGTGGTTGCACAACCTGAGATCTGGAGACAGAAACTGATAAAACAATTCGAAAGAAATGTGCCGACAAGTGATACGAAAGCCTGACTTTTCACGTTGATCCTAAGTAGATGTCGTTCAAGAAACGCTACGTTGGGACCCACACCAGTTGCTCTTCCACCCCACAAAGGGACGTATGTTGTCAGTCTCAGTCACTGCCCACATTTGCCGAGAATTTCATCAACAGAGTATCGTCAGGCGGAATTTCAATTTCGTCTGGTGAGAATACCAGATCGAAACGTAGAGCAGTACGTTGTGCTAGCTGGGCAATGTTTCGCATTTTGTCGCGTTTAATAATGTGAGCACATCGTAATACTGTCAGAGAAAGGGACAAGACTGGATTATGGACAAAAAATCCTTGCCTTAACCTCACAGCAATTGGACATACCAGGTTGCAATCATGTAGTAGCTACGAATAAACCTACTCATGAGGAATTTGAATTAGAGGAAATCGTGTGCCAAAAGTAGATGGGATAATACCACCGGAGCCGACATTTCTAGAGTATCATTTTTTGAAATGCACCACGTGGATTCGTACAGAAGCTATTTCTAGAGTGCGGAAAGCGTGCATGTCATGGGTAATGAACTACACAAGACTGCTTTTCTGGGTATGCTAGCAGCAAACAAGTTGCGGAAAAGCGCTGCATCCACTACATCCCGTGCAAGTCTCCGCTTCCACCTCAACAGACCACTGTTCCTCGAAGCCGCATTGACAGACCCCGTAAGCACTAGGTGCTATATCTCCACGCAAAGTGCTCAACTCACTTGACAGATTCATGTATACATATAACCTCAAGTTTATGGCCCACTGCCTTTCGACTTCCGGACCTTTCTGGAGCTCTTCTCCTGTTTGGTCTCAATATTCGGGACCACTGCGCTTTTCTTTTTGATCTTCACCAAATTCTGCGATGGAACCGCAAAATCTTTCAATTCCTCCCTAGATCGCTTCTTCTTATCAGTCCTACCCTCTTTTTCTGTACCAGTCTTCGATGCTGGCTTTGCTTCAGCTGCATTTGAGTTCTCTGAAACCAATCATTTCAACGACACATCAGCTACAATAAGAGAAATTCGAACCTCACCATGTATCTGAATATAAAAGAGTGAAAAAGATTCATGAACTTCGCCCATTCAATTTTCACTCCAGTACTATCGAAGAAAGTAAATAATCCCAAGGAGCTAAAAATACACATGGACCTACATAATACAACTTGAAGCTTGAAATGACGCAAAGAATCAGCAAACAGGAGGGGGGAAATTAGACTTAATAACAATAATCATACCTTTGTTAGAACTCCCAGATGTAGGGGGGACAGACTTGTCAGCGCTTGTGTCAAACACTACACTGATCAATTGTTGCTTCAAAAACAACTGCACAAAACAGAGCGTGTGGGTATACACAAGCTTCAGACGTAATGCAAGAAGATACAAATCATGAAGCCAAAGTGATAAAAAGGAATAACATTGAGCAACAATGCTTCATGGAGCCCACCATTGAAAGAAGCTGCCTGGTTCTGGAGTGGTGAATTCTCAAGTATCTGTCCAGACCTGCCCAGAAATAGGTTTAAAAATTAAGTAGTCGTAATAACCAAAAGCAACAGGCACTATGGAATAAAGAAGAGGTAATGAAAACATTGGTAGCAAAACAATAAAGTAGAATAAAATAAACAAACCAACGAGTTACAAAAAAAACCATTTAAATAACTTGAAATTTTAAAAACTATCAATACAGTCGTATTACCACAAGATGCGACAATGGGTAGAGTAGGATGCAGAACTACCGACCGCACACTGCCTGATATTTTTCCCTTGAATCCTCCAACATTTTGACCTACGCCCATACAAAAATTAAAACTACCTCTTCCGATTCAGTGACGAGAAGCCGACTCACTAGTACACAAAATTACTCAATCAAAACGATTAAGGGTCGTTTATAAAAGGCATGAATACTACTGCAAATATGCAGTCCAAACGAAGGGCAAAGAAATTTCATTGGAACACTCATAGAAATGCACTAAAAAGTAAGGTTTCAAACATGCAAAACAAAGTACAATCCAGGAACATTTCGACAATGTAAAACATGAAATAAATAATAAATTTGGCAGAGTTGAGGACTAAGCTTAAAATTGTAAGGAAAATTAAAATAGGAAAATTATTTCATATAAGCATGTACTAGTCGATGCGAAAAAAAAGAGATCCAGTAGCTAACCTGTACGCATGTCAAAGCACGCTAAGTCTCCGCTCCCACTTCCTACATACACAGTGTTCCCATCACCACCTGGAGCAATGGACTTTATAGGTGATTCACCATAATCGAACATCAACATCGGCCGCCGCTGCGCTCCGGTATCATACAACCGAATCTGCCGGAAAAGCAAGAAAAAAAAAAAAAAAAACGAATTTTTTAAGAGAAGTAACGGCTTCAAAAGCTTGCCATACAACACAGATGCCAAAATATTTGAAGATTTAACGTTGTCCTTCATGGAATATGCATAACCGACTGTCATCACTAAGCTAACTTGACAATTATAAACACCTGGTGATGGCCGGTTCCCACTACAAACTTGCGGTGATCTTTGACGGAGAGAAATGCCAATGCTGTGACGAATGCAGGGGCTATTAAACCCAGGTTGTCCCTTCTTGGCTGCACCAATATACTCGACCAATATCAGCAGTAGTGAAACAAGAAACACCCACTACTTTTTTTTTTTTCCCTCACTATTCAAACTCCGACTAAGAAGGATAAAGAACAAGAGAGGACATATATGCATGGTGGAATAAAGGAACAACGTACATTTTTAGCACTCCAAATTCGGGTCCGCTTTTCCAAATCCCACATGCTAACCTCGACACCTTTTCTGAAATTAAAAACATAAAACATAATTGTGATTCGATGAGAAGATTGGAGGAACGCAATATGTCTGTAGAGACTGAATCTGTATTCTACTGCCTTGCTGACAGCCAAAATGAGGAAGAAAATGTGCTCAACACTGATATCGAGAGGGAGAACTATACCCTCCAAATATAGCATAACGCTCACTGCCATCCACCCGTAGACAACAAACACTTCCCGAATCAGCCACACTCCAAACGATAGCATCTGAACTGACTTGGCTACTGGTAGACACACCCATGTCCTCATCACCATCATTTGATACGCCCATGTCTTCATCGTCAGCTGGAAAGGAGATTCTTTGAATAGCAGCTACGCCCTGCTCCGTGCAAGTCAACACCGCTGTCCCCCTATACGGCCAGTCGACAGCTCAAATTTCAGCTCATTTCCTCAACCCTCCCTAAAGTTTTTCCAGTACTCGTACATCGCCGAAACGTTAAAATCAATATTAAAATTAAAAACGGATTGGAGCAGGTGAAACGTGAATGCACATGAGAGGATAAGAATAAGGTTACCAAATACTATTTTTCTTGAAAAGATGCAATCCGCATACAGCATCACTCGCATCTTCACGATTTCCATTAACTCGTTCCGAAATGCTAGTCGGTACCACAACTTCAGCAAGTCTGACACCATTGACTGGATTCAACACTTCAACCTGCCGGGGCAGACGCATCAGCTCAAGTATTTCAGACATTCTAACTAAAGTGCACATGCGCTCATTCCTAAACTCCATCAAATTCGAACCCTAACAATGGTACTTACTCTGCCACTTTTCCTCGCCAAAGCAAACCCTTCCTCCCCATACGCGCTGCAAGCCACAGGATCTCTTCCCCATCGAGCCACCACTTGCGGCATGCCCTTGTCCGAAGCGACCTCCACGACTGCAAAACAAAGCATCCAAAACAAAGAGTAACTTAGGAACGCAAACAGGAAGAAAGAAAAAATTAAAACACACACACGCAAACACACATTCTTCCTCTCTCTCTTTCTCTCCGGAGCATCGAATTCTATCAGAATGATATATATATATATATATATATATATATATATATATATTTATAAGAGTATATATAATAAAAAAACAAAAAAAACTGACGGAGAAAAGACTTGAGAAGCTACTGGGGAGAGCGCGCAAAACCTTTAACATAGCCGAGGTTGTCACAACAGAGAGCGCGGAAGGGCGGGCAGCCCGGCAGATCCACCGAGTTGGTGCGCGGCATGGTGATCTAACGAAGGAAGGCAACAACGAAGGAAGAAAGAGGGTTTGCAACTAACTAACTAACAAAGTGGTAGAACAAGCCCCCCTCCGTGACTGGAAGATGGCCCAACCCCCACGCTCTCTCCCTGTCTCGCTGTAGTAACCCTAAAACCCTAAAACCCTCTCTCTCTCTCGCACACTCGGGGTTTAAAAGCTCCCTTGGATGGATGTGGTCATCCGTCGTCCATCCCCACTATCGGTCGTTGGGGATGGATGTATTGTGAACCAGGAGGTGCAACTAACTGCACACCGAGTCAATTCAATTACCATGAAGTCATAGAGTCTATACTCAAAACATTAGTATTCTTGAAGATATGGATTTTCAGTACATTTTCAGTACGAACACATACATTCACAATAAAACACCAACAACTTTAAATCATAGGTTATACGTTCTTTTTCAAATTTCCTTCACACAAATGACACATCCCCCGTGTGGAATTTTAAAGTTTGAAACAGTATTTTATAACTTTAAATTTATATCTCTATTTATATGAACTTTTGGTTTTTGTCTCAAATTCCATTTTCTTTAACTTTAATATGATAAAACGTGCTTTTTATTGATTTTTTTTTTATTATTATACTTCAATTCTTGGTAATTTTATTACTCGAATTAAATTTACGAAGTACAGTTTCTTGCATTTCCCATTTTTTTTGGTTGTGTACAGGGTCAAATAATATTGATAAAAAAAAGGGGGGGGGAGATACAAAGGGAAAGCTATAAAAATATTCATTAACAAGAACAACAATGAAAATTTTAAAAATTCTACATTGAAAATTTAAAATAAATAAATACATACATTTTTCATTGCATAAAAACTTTATTCTGTGTTACATTTGATGTTGATACATTTTGGTATATTACTATATGATATTTGGATATTATACTGATAAAATTGTAACCTTAATGGTTCTTTATTTCATTTTTCTTAAGATTGTGTGTTGAGATTTAGCTGTAAGATTAATCTCAGCTATTGGAATTTAAATTTTGAAATTGAAACCGGTAACCCATTGAACACAATATCCTGTGCACAAGTTCTGGACTCGTTTTCATAGGATTCAAACATATTGATTATTAGCTACATGTATTTTATTTTGGTTCTCAATCAAATGTACTATTTTTGAAAGTTCAAAAAATAAATAAACCAACTTGCGTGCTGTTGAATTAACACTTTACTGGAGAATCACGATTTTTTGTTCGCAATTCGATCATCCTAAAATTTGACTTGCATTCGGTCAAAGCTTTTACATTTGTTGTTCGCATAGCTTCAAAAAATACACACAAATTCTCTTTCACAGTTAGGTTTAGGTTTTTTCTGGAACAATCTCTAGTGCAGATTGTTCACAAAATAGAATGGATTTTAGTTTTTTTTTTTTTTTTTTTTTTAATATGTATTTTTGCAAATGTTACAATTCTTAGGAATCAAATCATACTATTCATTACAAAACATTGACTCAGCACAAGTTATATTCACTCGTCCCATTTGGTTTTGGTTGAAATAAAATTATTGATTTAATAGCACTAAATAGTGTATTTGCCTATAATAACTAGTCTATGTGTGTGTATACATTTATATACATATACATATTTTTGTATATAAATTGTTAAATTGACCCAAGCATTTCCTAAATCAACCCACCCATCCTAATCATTGTCAAAAAAATTCCACTATGGGATCCGTATTGGTTGAAAATAAATGAAAAGATAGTTGGATCCTCAACCAATGAGGATGGATGGGTTGATTTAATAAATGCCTTCGTCCATTTAACAATTCCCTATATATATAGATATAGATATAACACCATGTTCCAAATATAGTTTTAATAATGTTTAAAATTTCCTCATCTTTGTTCAAGATATTCTGGATTAAAAATATCCAAATTTGAAATAACAATGATTAAGAGCTATAATACAAATTAGTCACACTAAAACATAAAATGTCGTAACCAATGTAGATCATTTTTATTTGAGTGATGATCTAGTTGCTATTCAAAACATCAGCTATGAAATACTACCGACAATACAGGGGTGTCCAAAAGGAAGTTTTGCATATAGACATATAAAAGGGAAGCATTAGGTAGAGTTTCGAATATGAAGACACTGGAAAGCCATGGAGTGGTAAGTGTGTGAGTGTGTGTGTGCAGAAGGATCGAGTGATCATCCATAGTTTGGAATCCAATACCAAAGCAAGCAAGAGAGAGAGAGAGAGAGAGAGGAGGGAACGGGGTTCCCACAGAACCCTAAGGCGGCTATGGGGCAGTAGTCCCACTGATAGAGAGTGAGAGAGACCACACACTGACATGCACAGAACACACCTACACTTCGCACACAGAATGTGTGGGCTGCTGAGGCCATGGCCTTCTCCATCTCCTCTTCTTCCTCCTCCTCCTCCTCCATCGCCTGCTGTGCTCCCCCGCGCTGTGTGAGCAGAGCGTGTCGTTGCGGGACATGTCTCGACGCTTTCATCGCCACTTCCACTTCTCCTCCGCCATCCTCCTCCTCTGCCCATGCTGCCCCTTCTCGTCTTGCTCCCCTCACCACACCATTCGCCCGCAGGAGCGTAGCGATCGCTGTGGATAGTCATGCGCGGCAACACCAGACCTTGTCGGTTCTCCAGGAGATGGAGTTCGACGTGGTTGTCGTTGGGGCGGGGATCATCGGTTTGACTGTGGCGAATCGAATTTTGGAGGAGACCAGGTTTTCCGTCGTTGTCGTGGATGCGAAGCGGCCGTGCGCTGGCGCTACTGGAGCTGGTGAGTGTTGGCCATGGTTGTGTTCGGCATTTTCAACCAAGCATGACTCAATTACATAAATTTTTTGAACGAATGATATGATTTTGGTTGGCGACTTTCTGGTGCATGGTTTGGCGATGTCTGCCAAATTTCCCCAGAAATTGCGCGTTGAGAAGGTTCTACACTAGATTTGCAGCGGATTTCCCTTATTTCGTGCACCTAGCCGTCAATTCTGCTTCGCGCATGCTCAGATTGCATACAGCATTGATGAGTAGAGTGTTTTCTTCGAGTTTGTCCTCACTGACTCTAGTCGATTTATTAAAAAAGAGGACAAAGATAGTGTTTTCTCGCCTAGTTAACCCGTGGCTGATGCCGGAGATGATTGCCGAAATCCATTGTTACAGGTAGAAAGAAACATAGGGAGAAGTACGTTACATTACTTAATACACATTGCAGAACAGAGTGATATGTTGGTTAAGTACATCGAAGATTATTTCTTCCTCGATCTTTCAACTCATCAAAATTGTTTCGAGCATTATCAGAAACACTCTGGAAATGTTTCACATTGACAAAATTCTGTTAACGTCAGTTCTGAAATGAAGCTACATGTTACATTGATGTTTCATGGTTTGTGAAATAAGCTTTTGTGAGTTCGATGTGTAATTTTTTGTGCGTGCCGGTTTCTGTTCGGCGATTGTTGATGTGGTGCACGTAAAGGGCAGGGATACGTATGGCTGAATCACCGCAATCCAGCGAGCAAGACGTGGGGGTTGGCTCATCGCAGCAAGCTTTTGTGGGAGCAGCTGGTTGCAGATTTAGCAGATGCGGGATCGGATCCTCTGTCAGCAATAGGGTGGCAGAATACTGGTCTAATTCTCTCACATCTATTAAGCAATTGGATTGTGTACCAATACATCGTAAATTTCAGAGTGGATATGACGTAGGTTTAGGGTTTTGGGTGTTTGATTCTCACTCACTAACCTGTACTTCACAGGTAGCCTACTTGTGGCAAACTCAGTTGAAGAAGCGCGTGGTTTACAAGCGCATGTGGGAGCGATGGCCACTGCAGGGGTGGACGCCGAATTTTTGACAGCATCTGAATTACAGAAAATCGAGCCGTCACTTAAAGTCGGACATGAAGGAGGTGCTGCTTTTGTGCCTGGGGATAGTCAAATCGATGCAGCATTGGCTGTAGAGTTCTTTCGCAAAGTGAGTTCAAATTCTGTAGCATTTAAATGTTGTGCAATGACATTCGAGGGCCACTCATTCTAAGAACCTATGGATGCAATTGATGGTGGCTACGATTCAATGTTGCTATGTTACGTTTGTTTACTCTATTGTTTTCCATGTCTTAAAATTTCAGAGAAACTTAGCATATCGAGTTGAAGGACGCTACATGGAACTTTTTGATTCTCCTGTTGAAGAACTTTACCGGTAATTTAAGTTTTACTCAAGCTGGTATGTCATATCATGATAATATAAGTTATTGATTGTAATTTGTTGGGATCTTACATATTGTGATTCTCGTCTTTACGAGATCCATTTAAATTAACTGGAGACGGTAGACTCTCTCATGGAATTGAAAATATGGATGGTCTAGTTTACGGCACACGATTGAATTATCAAATTAATAAGGTCATCTTTCGATTTGATTCGAAGTTCTTCTGCAGACGGCTCCATCGAGGTGGTTCAGACCTCCAGGCACAAACTTCGCAGCAGAGAAGCGGTCATTGTGGCAGCGGGGGCATGGAGTCCCAACATACTGACGCGCGCAGCTCAGGAATGGAGGCTCCCTTTGATTCCTCCTGTGAAGCCTAGAAAGGTGCATGTGAATTTCATCATCACAATCATGATATTTCAGTGATATTTTGGCTAGATTGTATACATTCGCTCCTCCTCTTTCAAGCCACTTAAATTAGACTTTGAGACTTGCATCGTTTCGAGCAGGGCCATCTGCTTGTGCTTGAGGGTTTGCCTTCGCTGAAGATCAATCACGGCTTGATGGAGTTTGAATACACAGCTAACTACACTACAGCACATAGCACACAGTGCTCTCAACCAGAAGATGTCTCAACACCCTCCCTTGTGACTGACCCGACTGTCATATCACACGACAGTTTTCGGGTTGCAATGACAGCCTCAACGGACAAGTCTGGTCGGCTTCTCTTAGGTACAATTCATTCAATGTTTTGAGGTTTTATTGATTCTCCTTCGGGATGTTTTAATGTCTGATCTGAAAACTTTCGATGATGATTTGGTGCAGGAAGCAGTCGAGAGTTCTCTGGTTTCAGTACTGCACACCATTACGAAGCTATAGAAGGCATACTAAGTCGAGCGTCTGAATATTTCCCCGCATTGAAAGACATTTCAGTTGAAGACGTGTTGGAAAAACAAACAATAAGGACTGGACTTCGTCCCTACGGTCAGTTTTTAACTATTTTCCACCTGGATTTTACTGGGGATTCCAATCTCAAAGTGCCGATTTCATTCTCGAGTATGTAAATTGTGGTTTTTTAAAAAAAAAATTGAAGCTTTTCTTAGATTTGAATTGCTGCAGCGTTTGGAGGTGTGCCGCTTGTTGGACCAGTGCCTGGGGTTGAAAGACTGATGCTAGCCACTGGTCATGAAGGCTCTGGGCTGTGTATGGTAAGAATTCTATGCATCTCTCTCTCTCTCTTGTTTTTTTCTTTCTGGTTTTCTTTCACATGTCTTTCACACGTAGCTTTTATTTTTTTTTTCCTTAGGAAAAGTCAAGTTAATTGCTTCATTGTTTCATTTTGGGTGGGGCAGGCTCTTGGTACTGCAGAGATGCTGGTGACCCGGCTTCTGGGAAAGGAAACTGTTTTTGATGTAGACCCATACCTTCCTGCGAGCAGATTGTGCCATTCACAAACTAATGCACAAACTCTTGCTTGAAAGAATGACATTTTAGCCACACTTTAGGTCCAGTATCTTGCACAACAGGTTTGTACTAAGGATTACGAGTTGAAGACGTTCTGCTAACTTGTTCTAACGATGCTGCTGCTTCTGCAGCCGTGTTGAAATTTCTGGAGTCATATGTACAGAGTGAGAGCTATTGCTCTCTCCCTCTCTTCATGCCTTATCTAACACTTGGTTCCATTGACCACCTTGTCTTTCGGCCCTGTCTCCGCGCTCACAAATTTAATACGATTTGATGTTCATTATGGACTTACGATGCCGAAATAAACAACCGACAATATCCATCTATTCCGTTAGTAACCGGAGAGAACAAGGCGGCGGCGCGTATAATTCACTATGTTAACGAGGTCTATCAGATTAAAAACCTGGTTTAAGAGTAGTATATTACAAAGAAGCCAACCCACTCCCAGGGGAACCGGTATGCAATGACCCAAAAGCAATTGACGGATTTTATAAACTTGCTATGGCAATCTGTTCATTTCCGATTCTCTGCTAACATCACCATTGCCTCCAATATCTGCAACAAGTACCATGCAAACATGGGTAATTTCAGTCGAAAGTGCAACACTGTACTGAAAGAAATCCAGTTGTGCACACAATTCTCGCTGTATTCAACTTGTATAATGCTCCACCAGGACAGTGTTGGCCAGCAGATTTAGCAATGCAGTCCTGAACAAGTCATCGACTACAAGGGGGGAAGCCAATTGAGAGCGCAATCTCCAACATAAGCGAATGGAAGTTAGGAATATTCCAAACGAGATGGCAGGGGCACGGGTGCAAAGCCCGAAGGACAAACCCTTGTGTGAAGACCGAGCGACAGGGGCGTTGAATCCCAGCGGAGATCCCAAAGGCGGGGAGGGGAGCAGACTCTCCTCTCCTCCCCCAGGGCTGGGCTGGGTTGGCCTCGTTGTGCCCGCTCCGGTGTGAGCCCGTCTCGCACTCTTTTCTGGCGTAAATGAATGAGATCCTGCACTTCTCTGTCTGTCTGCGTATCTGTCTGGCTGTGCGTCTCGCCCTCCATCCCCCGCACCCGCTAGTCTTGCTCCAGTTTAGGGTTGCAGGGCTGCAGTAAAACCAAACACCAACCGTGCCAGTGCCACATTCATGAGCACCATTGAATTGAATGCAACGTGCCCCGGAGTGAGACCAGGAGACGAGGGATATTCAAAGCCCGCCCGGTGGTCGTCCACGGAGAAGCCCTGCCCACCCCCCCCCCCCCCCCCTTCCCCCTTCCCCCTGTCGTGCCCTGCCCTGTCCTTCCCCTTCGCCTTTCCCTCCCGCTTCCTTCTTTCGTATCGCTCGTTTCGTTTCGTTTTCTTTCTGTTTCTTGCAACCGGGTCGCCCCACCCTCAGCCCAAAGGTGCCGCCTTTCACCCTGGGGCTCTTTCCCCACATGCCCCTCCCCGCCCCCTGCTGCGGTGGGTGCATTGCTTCGTGGTTTACGCAGTGTGTGGACTCATAGTGTGAAGGTGTCTATTGGGGCTAGGCCTTATTATCGTCTTTCGGGTGGCGGTGAAAGTCTGGTTTGCGAGGGCGGGCAGTGCGACCGCAGGTCTTGTTGGCTCGTTTGAGCGGCGATGAACGCAGGGAAGATGAAGGGAATGTTGGAAGGATCAGCAGCGCAGGACAGGATGTTGCTGGTGCTGGCAGCTATTGGTTTCCTTTTCATCTTGCGATTTGTCTACTTGCTGGTTTTGTGGTTTTACAGCTACTTCCTCCGCCCTGCCAAAAACCTCCAGAGGTCTCTCTCGTTTCTCTTGAGACTTGTTGGAGTGATGCAAACGGCGCTCTTTTCTTGCGTTCCTATCGTTGATAACTTTTTCTCAGCTCATCTTGTGAACACACAGTTTCAATGCATTGAGGTCGATGCGATTTCGTATTGTAGGGTATCCCCTTTTTGAACAAGGGCAGTGCTAATGTACCTTGCTTGTGCATGTTATTTCAATGAGCAGCAACATTTTCTTTGGTACCTTGTGAGTTTAGAAATTCGCCTGGATAATGCAGATATGGAGAGTGGGGACTAGTTACTGGAGCTACTGACGGTATCGGGCGAGCAATGGCCATCCAGCTAGCACGCAAGGGTATCAATGTTGTTCTTGTGGGCCGGTCAGCCTCGAAGCTGGAGGATGTAACGAAGGAAATCACGAGCAAGAGTCGTGCTGAGGTAAAGTTTCCTACTGAGTTTCTGTTTGTTATGATTCCGAACCTCTTCAGGTTGTTTCAAGGACATGATATCAGTAAGTAGGCCTCAAATTGATATGTGAAACCGGGTAATCCAGGTGCGGTCTGTAATTGTCGACTTCATGGACGATGACCTTAATGCTGGGCTTGCAAAGATCGCCCAATCTACCAGCGACATTCAAATAGGTATACTGGTAAACAACGTTGGGATTTCGTACCCATATGCACGCTTCATGCACGAGGTTGACGCAGGACTGGAGAAGAGCTTGCTCCGCTTGAACTGCGAGGTCACCACTAAGATGATTCATCTCTACCTACCTTCCATGTTGAAGTCCAAAAGAGGAGCAATTATCAATGTTGGATCTGGTGCTGTGGGCATCCTACCTTCTTATCCCCTTTATGCAGTGTACGCTGGCGCCAAGGGGTGAGTACATTCCTCTGGTACCTTCTACGTCGCTCCTCTTCTGCTGGTGTCACGTCAGCTTTTTTCGATTTCTTTTTAATGGTAGAATTCCTTCGGCTAGTATTGAGCCAATACCTGTAATGGCGCTGATCGTGTGACACTGGTTTCAATTGGTGGACTCAGTTATGTGGAGCAGTTGTCACGGTCGCTCTATGTGGAGTACAAGCACAGTGGCATTGACGTTCAGTGCCAGGTTCATACGATCTCCCTTTTTCGGAAGCCACCTTCGTGGAGCATCTTTTCATCTCCCTTTTTGTACGGAAACATGTTGATTTTTAAAGCTGTCTGTAGATGTGCAGTTTTCAGCTTCAGATTGTTCTCATAGTTTTGGGAAATGTTGCAGATTCCCCTCTACGTTGCAACGAAGATGTCCAAGACCAGACCCTCGTTCACATCTCCCGCCGCCGATTATTATGCCAAGCTTGCTATCGCATGTATTGGATATGAGCCTGTCATCACCCCCTACTGGGTGCAGTCCGTGATGTGGTTCATCATTACCCTCATCCCAGAGCCCATCATGGACTCCATTCTCCTCAGCAACAATCTTAACATCCGACGCAGGGGTCAAGCCAAAGAGAACGCCGCTAAGAAGGAGTGAGCCATTCTTTAGGCACCAGAATGCCTTGGTGGTATTAGCAATTCAGAGGCTGTGGCGTGGGTGTGTGAAATCTAGCTGAGTTTGCATAGTACAGAATTAATTACCTTGATGCTTGGTCTGTATCCTCATGATTCTGGGCCTCTTGTTATTCATTTTATAATGAGGTTGCCCCTGATTCATTGAACCAGAAAAGTTCTGAACTCTTTTCTGTTTTTTTCATTAAACTTATTTTCGTTACTGTTTGGGGTTCTGTTCTTAAACCTCAGTAAAAAATTATATCAACATTGTTGGCATGGACAGCCTTCTTACCTGCACAACGTATTTGGCAGATCAGCACAACGTAGGAACATCCGTTCTTAGTTTTATCGCATGTAATAAGTGCTTACATTTGCATGTTGGTATGAAAACCTTTTCCTTGCATGTTGGTGGAAACAGAAGTGTGTGTGGCCATTCTTCCCTCCTGCTCCCAGTCATGGGGTCCTATGTGATTGACATGATACTATGTGATGCCCACGATACTTTCGACGAAGTGATCATTTGCAACGAATCGAAACTTTTCACAAGAAACTGATGTATCAGCAAAAATTTTGTATGATCCTTGGTCTTAAAAGCTACGAACTTGTAGCTATTTTTGTCAGCGTTCCAAACGTCGTAGGGAAGTGATTCCCGAGGACACCAATAGCACTACGCAGTGATCTGCTGCCCGCGAAGTGCCACCGCATCTACTAAGCCCTCATCCTTCGTTTGGTTGTGTGAGGGTCTCCACGCTTGTTAATATCATGGGGCACGTGAACCGACCCCTCTGATCGCATAACACTGTCAGTTGACTTCGGCTGACATCAATAAGTGAGTCATGACACATAAGGCAGATTCCTACTTGTCAATGTCGTGTAACGAAGTATCGAGTACTTAGACAAGTATCATATGTAGAGGATAACGATGGTAATAAGGGCTGGGGGTGTTGAACAACCATGCCACTGCACGCCCGTGACACTGGCAGTTGGGATTATTTTGCTGGAATAAAAGTTTCTGCTTCCCGACGGACCAATATGGTGGTGCTTCAATAATGCTTCAATAACTGTAGCGGCAATAACTCGAGAGTTAAGGTGCTGCCAGGCGGGCTCCCTCTGCAGATCCATCTACCTCCTGCTGTTGCCCATGAACGTATTCAATCACGGATTCAAGTTCTGGTGAGGCTGGTGAAAGAATCTTGTGCAGAAGCTGCCTAAGTTGAGCTTTTTGAATGCGTGAGAGTACTGATGAAACGGGAGTCTCTTGTGCACAGTAAGTGCATCAGCAACACCCAAGTGCCAAGCCCCATGAAATCATTTTTGAAGGTGCTTTAATATAATCTTATTATTCCATTGAAAGCTGGTTGTGTAACTATAGTCTCAGTGGTGTATCAAACTAATTGTAGCTTAACAAAGTAAGTCTAGTTATGTCATTTGAATAGCACTGATTGGATACGTAACCTACCATACAGCTATAAATGTTTCAAACTGTTACTTTTTGGGCTTTTGTTAATTTAAGAAAAATGCTTCGAGAATATATTTTATTCTTAAATAAAATGCGGTGGATGCAACACTGATGGATGGAAATATAAGTCCCCTAAATATACTTAAAAAAAATTGTGTCACAGAAATTTAAAACTAGGCGTTAAAAACATTTCTTTCAAGAAAAATTCTAATCCACATTGATTATGCACAACATAATAATTGACTAACTTCACTCATATACATAATAATAGTAATAAAAATAATAAATAAGTCTTAAGACGGACCCTGATTTTTAAGAAGCCTAATAATCACATGTGAAAATTTTGAAAAGAGATTCTGCATGTAAATAAATCATTCAGAAATATCAGTTTATAACTAGGTTGTAAGAAGGTGTTTCTTAAATATCTACAATTGTTTTGGAAAAATGTCGCAATAAGAGATGTGAGGGACAAATCGCAAAGATGGCATGTGAGAGTTGATTTGTTCAAGTCCATAACAGAATTTCATGGGGTAGATTGTAAGAGTTACATGACCAAACTCAAAATCCACTAAGTGTTTCAGTGTGCGATGTAGCAAAGAAGAATTGTGATTAAAGAAAGTTCTTGTACGCATTCTGTGGTTAGTTCGTCAGTATTCCACTCCCACGTAGAGTCCTCGCTTCCGATACGTACGTAACCAAAAAGCATGACTCTGTACAGGTCAACTGTGTTTGTGTGACTAGTTATTAAATGCAGAAGTGTGTTACTAAAAAATGACTCCAAGAAGTCGAGATGCCGATATATGTTTCTCTCGTTGTCAACTGTCCAAATTCCTGTAAAAGTCCGATAGTAATAAATTTCATTTACTCCAGAAGTGAGTGGTCCTAGATTGGTGGTGACCATGGAGACGAAACACAAGCCCGCTGGAGTTTGAAATCAATATGAATTTGGCATTTGCGGAAGACTAAACGGAACTTCGGAGTATTTGTCTGAATCCAAAGCAGAAATTCATCAGCTTCACACAGGAGCTCACACAGTTCATGGCCCGAAACGGATGAATCTGAGATTCGATATGGTATATTAACAAAATTCTTCACATGAAGAACACAATATTCCATATCAAAAAAACTACACAGGCCGCTGCCATGTAACTTAAGTTGCTCTCTGAGCTGCCTCCTTGGCAAGAATTCGCTCTCTGATCTTCGTCTTGGCCTGTGACTTGACACCCATGATGCCACCGCCCCAATGCCTTCTATGCTCGTCGTACTTCTCATTGAAGTTCGCCTGCGTCCATCAACCCCATTTTCAGCCACACTCACCCTCGCATTCTCGACCTCAACCCCAAATACACCATCTCATTCTCTAAATGAAACCACTACTCTTTCCACACGTCCAACCAATTCTCCTCTGACCCCATGTTCAAAACACCACCACTACAATCTTTACAACCACCGCCACCTCCAAAACTGCTAAGCATAACATTCTTTCCACACGCACCTTCACTGCTTCGATGATCTTCGAAAACTCGTGCTTGTCCTCGTTTTTCACCGCTGTCAAACACAACGCTGTTGCAGTCTTCGCGTGCACAATCTGTTCACACACCACAACCCCCTCTCCTTCAGAAATCCACTCACTTGCCACACACGCTCCGCTTCCTGCATTACATCACCCTACTCATCCTCCTCCATCACTCTCCACTCTATCCATCCACATTGCCCACTCCACTCTCGTCACTTCACCTGTCCCAACCGCGACTTCCCCTTCACGATGCAGTACGGCACGCCCATCTTCCGGCAAAGTGCCGGCAGCCACACTACCAGCTCGATCGGGTCCACGTCGTGAGCGATCACCACCAGCTGAGCCTTGTTCTGCATTGTTCCAACCCCTTTACCCAGTCAATCCCCACTCCGTCCCACCGTACCCCTCCCAACACATGCCTCACATCCGCTTCCGCTTACAATCCCCCACATCGCACCCGTCTCACATCCAACCCACACATCCATTGCAGCTCATTCAACCGCACCTGCTCGATCAGGTACGTGATGTGGTTGATTCCGTATTTCACCACCACAGGCTTCTTCGACTCCACGCTCTTGCCCTCTGCCTCAGCCTTTGCCTTGTTCAGAAGCCGCTCCTTCTTCGCCGCCTTGTCCTCAGGTCGGTACTTCAACAACAACTTGAACAAGCTCGTGGCTGCATTCATCCACCACAGTCGCTTCAACACCTCTCTCACATTGCCACTACAACAGACCTATCGACAATCCACCCCACAACATTACAACCCTCCAGTTCGACAACAGCGACCTACCAAGATTCTTGTCCAGAGTCTTCGTGAACTGGTTCAGAGCCGGAGGGACTTTCAAACGCTGGTTCAAAACACGTCGCTGGCGCTGAATGCGCACGTACTTGGGCCATTTCACGAACCGGTGGAGGTCCCGCTTGGGCGGGAGAGCTCCTCCAATACCAAACTGCTTCGGCCTCTTCTCGAACAGAGGGTTCACAGTCTTCACTGGAGCCTGCTCCAATCATCATACAGTATTAACTTTTACATAGTCAGCAACCAGGAAGAAAAGAAACGTTCAGATTATTATATCAAAGCCCAATCTTGGCTAATTAATCTTTTAAACCCTAATCGGAGCCTCGATTGATGTCTTACCTGTTTCTTTTGGGCGGGGGCTGCGACCGGAGTCTTAAGAGTACCCCTCTTAGGAGCCTGAGCGACACATGGACGAGGACACAGATCAGAATAACTACTGATCAAGTAACTCAACCGTCAAAGCAACACTTAGCCTTGAAACCCTAATTTCCGACAACCCAGCTGTCGTCCTGAAGTCCTACTTCACCAAAAGACTTGAGGCAAACCACGCAATACACCTTGACAAGAACATTGAAGCACAGAACAGGCATGGGGAAAGCGAGGGCAACATCACCATGATTGAAGTCTGAAGGGAAGTGGAGCTGGGGAAGAGAAACTGCTACAGACCTGAGCAGCGAAAGTGGACACGAGTAACTCCAAGAGTAGCGATCAAGAGGTTCTACCCACGCCTGCCCCAGACCTAAAAGAAACAGGTTCGGGAGTGGATGAATGTCTTGGTTTGGAATCCTTGCTTTATGTGCTATCACTTGAAGTTGTTGGCCCTGGAGTCGAAATAGTCCTCATGAAGACTGTCGCTGACCATGTTTTTTTCGTTTGAGTTTTCGTCAACAATGGATGTCGGTGTGCACGAATAGCAATTGTACACCAGCTTCCGTGATTTCCAGCACTAGAGGGGACCAATCATGGTGACCGCATTTGGACCATGTGCTATCAACCTCTACTGGCGCATTCCGTTCTACAAGCATCCTCTCTCGAACAGCGATATTATGGTTCCTGTGACACCGAGCACCCAGAAAATATTTCGAAACGCTTGTTATAGTTGGTTGAGTGTTAGAGTTGTCAGCATGCTATCTGACCAAATGAGCGGACCAGTTTTCGAGTCACAGTTGGTAATGAGATGATGAGTAAGTCAAGAGGACAGAGCAGAAACGAACTTCAAGCTGCGACTCTTTGTGAGGAGCTTTGGCCGGTGGATACGAGTGAAGACCAATGCAGAGACCAACTACGTATTCTGGTTTTTTATTTTCGTTTGTTTTTTCATTCTTGACAGTTGTGCAAACTTTTAACTTAGTTTTCTAACCTCGTGCATATACCATGTATAAGAAGCATGTGAAAGATAACCAAGTCTGAGGAATGTGATTGCAGAGGGTCATGCACAATTGCTTGGCCTGAAATCGGCAAAAAAGTTGCATGTGGCAATAGATGCATGTCTCAACTTTTTACTGAAAAAGCACTCAACAACTCTGTAGTGCAATTGTCTTGTATGGTTACATGTCGGCGTTGATCAACCATGTTCATGACTAAACTCTACCGTGTAAATTGACAATTCGTAGGAAGACGTTGATCGAACTCCACTGCAGGAATCTCTTCACTTTCCCGTGCAACCCGGCGGCTATAGCTACTTTAGGGAAGATTCTTAAATGAGAACAGAAGGTAACAAAAAATATTATACACGGGAGAAGGAAAAAAAAAAATCCAAACAGAACTCAATTCTTCCTGCTGCAAACCTATGCCTCGAAACTCCTAATCGTCTCCCAAGTGGAGGCACTTGACGCCATATCCCTTGCATCTTTGCAGGGTTTCCATGAGTTCATCGCTGGTGACATTGGGAGGCAATTGTGAAGAGTCATGGACTGTTATTCCAACTTCAAGGTACCACTGCTCGAAACCCCCAGGGACATGCACGAGAACCATCCTCGCAGGTGCAAGTCCTCTATTCATGAACGAGTGCGGAACAAACCTGGGAAGATGTATGAACGAGCCCTGACGGCCGAGGGATTCACGGCCACCGAGATTCCAGATGAGCTCTCCTTCCAGCATGTACCACATTTCATCCTTCAGGGCGTGCACATGGCTTAATGCTTCTTGGCCGGGATACACTACAACCTCAGAGAAGGAGTAGAATCCACCAGCGTCGTTTCCCAAAACCTTTAAAGTGGCGAGCAGGCCTAGAGCCCAGACCCTTACACCCTCCCCTACCATACCACCACGAATCAGTCCAGGGACAGGTAATTTGAAAAGAATTATGAAAAGGACCACGGCTGAAATTTGAACAAGCAAAATGACTAACCTGGTGCGAGCATGCCGAGCTTTGGAGATGTGATGCCAGATAATTGACTAGCGCAGAATGAGACTTGATCCATCCTGCTTCTCTAACCTCTCGTTGTAAGTATCAACTAATCGCCTATTTCCCTCCGCACCCAAAGGGATACAAAACCAGGATGACTACTCAACTTGCACCAAGAACAGAGTGTGCATTGAAAACCTCTATACCTCTGTGAACCAAACCGAAGAAATAAGCCATTCTCGTGAAATAAGCTCCATTTACGCTAGAATCCTCACTCTGGATCGCCCGACATATCAGGGCACGTTCGGAAAATCTAACATAACGGACAACAAGCTTCACAATTCATGAACAAACAAAAAAACTCAACATTCCTACACACCATAACAGAGTACAAACGACCACCACACCACGACACTAAGACGCCGACTGTCTGAATTGCTCCTGAATTGGGCCCCACCGCAAACGGGCTGGCAAGTGGAGGCCCCATGGATGAACGTATTAATGTAAGGATGGATGGGTGGATAACTCACTCCGTACATCGCTTTCTCTGGCTGGTCCCCCCGCATGTTGGTGGGTCCTTCTACCTGTCGAGGTGGCCCTTAATGACATGTGCATGGTTACGTGTCGGCTCGAGGTGGGATGTGACGATGAGCTGGTAAGCCACGTCTGCTCGTCATTTATTCGCTCTTTCTTTGGATGATTCACATCTGATTTGGGTCATTCGGCTCTACTCGTTGAATTCTGGCCATTACAATGCTGACCTCCCCTTTGAAATTCCTATGCCCAGTTAACTTTCCTTCATAGATCTTCTTTTTGAATATAACATGTTCTTAACCTTTCATTCAAGTTAGCCACTCTATGTAAGACAACACCATTACACTTAATTTCAATCAATTATATATATATATATATATATATATACATTTGTGTATGTGTATGTGCACACACACACACTATCTTTCTGCACACTTTCATTGGTTAATCCATATTTACACCCTATTTCCTCCTCTTAATGAATTATTCCCTTGGTTAATTTCACACAATGATCTTTGGGTTTAATTTAGTACAGTTTTTGACACAATGATACGATCATATTATGTGACTGATGATACAAAATAAAATGTGATTTATGTAAGCTTGACTTCTGATATGTTTGGTAATTTAAAATTTCAGCAAACAGAGATAGACTAACAAATTTTGGAATCGGCTTTTTATATTGATTTTTGGCTTTTTCAATGCTTTATTTCATTATTGAAAAAATCAAAAATAATTCATATAGTTAATAATTATAATATATATATGTTGAAATTTACTATTTTTGTATATTCTAGGTTCAGAATTAAAAAAGCACTCACTTATATTTATTCAAATCATGATTTCAGATAAAAGTCATTCTTTATAGGCACACATGCCATGATTTTTATAAATCACAAAATTGGATGTTATACAAATTTTTTAGTACAATACAATGAACTTATTTTTTTTTGGTTTTTGAAAAAATCAACTTTGGGATAAAATAAACACTAATAGACATGTGTGTTTCTACTAGAATTTAAGTGTTGAACTATTAGCATTGCAATATTACTACATAACAATGTAGCAATATTATGACAAAGTTATTTGGCCTAATAAAACCGTCTCCAAGTCAACAATATCCTTCCTAAGAGGTTAGTTGTTAGTATATTTAAATTAAAAACACCATGTTAGTAAAATTTAAGTTTGTCATAATAATGCAAATTCAATTTTTATCTCAATTTGGTTAGTTTTTTAAAATCTTCCTTGATTAGATGATGACTAACTTGTACTGACGTGACTTGTTCTGATTTCTACAATGTGCTTCTTTTAAATTTTATTACATTTTGTTTTAAAAATAATAATAAAACTAAACAACCTTTTGAATTCCTAATACACAATTCCTTTTATACTAAACAGAACTCATTCAATTAAAAAAAAAAGTACGAACTCTGGTTGGAAGTGCATTTGGGTTTTTAACTTGAAAATTAATCACCATGCAGCAAAGTTTCGTGGTTGATCTTCCTCTATTCTGTGAAAGAAATGAGTAACCAAATGAACTGCATGTGCAAACCCGAAGTTTGCAATTGTGGGTGATAATTTTTTTTGCTGCTTCGCAACATCCCGAAGTGAAAGGTGTGAAAAAACGCATCTTGATTGAAGGGGTTTTGGAATTTCTTTTGTTTACACTCTTCACAGGGCGAAATCTCAGAGTCCTTTTTGTATGTTTAATACTGGAGAAGACTTCAGAGTTTGAACAGCTCACATTCTTTGAAATTTGATTCGGAATCAGGTGAAGAGGTGCATGAGTTTCCTGTTGTCGCGGAATGCTACCGACATGGTGATTTTGGGTGAATGGCTTTCCTCAAGGGACTGGACCATCATTATCACCCTTTTAAATAGAACTGTACCTTTGATAGAAAAGTGTGCATTTGATAAATTGCATAGTGTATTTTAATGTTTGAATATGTAATAAATTTAGGCATGATAGATGTTTTTCCAAATTATTCACAGTGTAGGCACAATCTAGTTGAGAGATAACAATGGTATGCATTAAATTGCCAATTATGTGAAAATAAAGATAGAAGTTGATATAAGCTTTACTTGAACTGGTTGCAATTTTTTATAATTTTATACAAAAAATGACACTCAATAGCTTGTGTATTTAGATGATGACACCATATCTTATAACATAGAAAGACATGGTGATATAATTGTAAAACTTTTAAATGATATAGAACTTGAATTAAACTTAAATTGGTTTTAGCTTGCTATTATTTGCAAATTGGTATTCTATAGCTTCTAGGAATGTTGTATCTAAAGATGGATATACTATGTTAGTTTAATGGTCTTTATGGTGGTGAAGATAAAAAAAAAAAAAAAAAGGTTTTTAATTTTTAGAAAACAATTTGCTTTGAATATGCTTAACGTACTCCAACATGAGTTTAAATTGTCGTTTAGGTCTAGTTGAATTAAAAGGACTGAATTCACTTATTTTTAGCATATGATGTAAACCAGATCTTAGTGAGTCATTTAAAAAAAGTTGAAAAAAAGCTCTATAAATATCATTATCAAGAAGAAAATTTGGTAAATTATTTATATTATAAATATTATTAGATAATGATTGTAAAAGTGAAGGTTTAGATTGTAGATTAGAAATTGATAGTTTTAGTAATTGGACATGTGGATTACGTAAATGACACTTATTAAGAATAAAAAAATGGTGTTTGAATAAAGTAGAATCAATTTATTCTTATATATAATATTTGAGTATGAAACTTAGTTGTAGATTAGCATGTTCATTAAAAATTATGTCTCAAGATATAATCATTGTTTTATCTCATGAACCTATGAAACAATAAGTCTTGGTTTTTTTTTTTTTTTTTTTTTTTTATTATAACCAAAAAATAATAATTGAGAGTATAACTACTTTTAAGTTTTTTAAAAATAAAGACATAAGTTTTGTTAATAAAGCATTTTAAATGTATAAAACTATATTTTAGTTCAATCATATTTCAAAAGAAATTTTATTGACTAATATTAGAAGATAGTTAATTATAACAAGTTAAAATTTTTATATCAATTCTTTTTAATTTTCTCTCAATATTCTTAATTATCCATCTATATATAGATCTTAAATCCTCAATCTTTTGAAAATTCACAAATCAAACTTTTGTTAAATTCCAAAACCTACATGTACTCTTTTGTACATTGAGGCATGCAATGATAGATGATTTTTTTATACTTGTAGCACTTCATACTCCACGAGAGCAATCTTTAAATCCAAAAAAACATCATATTTATGGTCTATAGAAATTTCTCTGATATGATTTGTATGTCTCATATAATTTGACCTTACTATGAAAATTGGATTGACATCTTACTATCATTGCTATACACCCTAGCAAAATATGAGCCATTATCCAATACCTTGGTCTCCATCTTTATTACAATGATATAAGGTTGTCTAAAATGATTGGATAACTTTCTTAATTTTGCATAAAGAAGTTTTGCTCTACCTCTATATCACCAATTTTAATGCCCATTACTAAACATGCTCCATAAAGGTTACTTCTTTAGTTGTTGGTAGTTCTCAATATCCATCCATAGTTGGTATTAATTGACCATTTTTCCTTCTCATAAACCTTTTTAGATAAAATATTGATCTCAAAGCCCTGATCCACCAATGCTAAGATTGATTCTTTAAAGCCTCTAATCTTTATACATGTCTTTGTAGTAACTCTTGTCCAGAATGAATGAATATAAAATATTAAAACTTCACCATTACTCCTCTATAACTTGTCAATTTTATATTGTAATATCTTAAATTCCATTGCAATTCATTCTTCTTAATTCTTACATGTGTTTATTTCTACCTTAATGTTGGCCAGTCATTGACATAAAAACATTTATAGTACTTCATCTTCCATCTTTTCATACAAAAATTCCACTATAATATCAACTTCTATGTTTTGAGTTATCAAGAATGATTCCATGCTTTCTACTTTAGCCACTACTACCTACATTATCATATATCAAAGTAAATACTTATTTAATGTCATCTTCTTCTTCCTTCATCATTAAAATATCCAATGCCCTAGCCATCATTATTTTTCTTATCATATACCTTCTCATCTTGATCACATTGATGATGAGTTCATGAAAATCTTTCTTAGCTATACCAAAGCTTTTCACAGACATACTCATCTAAGACAGTGATTACATATACAAATAGGCAGAACTAAGTAAAAATAGATAAAAGTAAGTTAATTCTATAGTATTTCATATGGAAGCTTTTTAGAAGCTTCATAGATGCTGCTTAAACTTCATAGGTGTCTTTAATCGACTTTTTGGATTAGAAACGTGGTCAACAAGTTGGCCATGTCCCATACATGTTGTTAGTTTAAAGACCAAGCTAACAATGAGGTCCACACGTAGAAAAATTTACCATCCAAAGTAAGGCATGTGTCTTACAAAGTCAAAACTTATGGGAGGTCCTACAAAACGTCGCCACATAGCCCCTAGTAAGATAGTATATAATATAACTTCACTCTTGTCAACTCCTTTCTTGCTTCCAATCTAGTTTCAAGGGTCTCTACTTTTCTCCTCTTTTCGCAATAGCCATTCTAATTTCTCTTTCAATATACATACTTGTTTATTTATATTTTGTTATCTTTCTTGGAATGAAGGCTCACTTGTTTGAATTAATTTTTCATCGAGTTCTTGTCCTTAATAGATTGATAAGAATACACCTATAATATCAGAGCTTTGTCTAATCTTCATTAAGAGTAGATTACCCCTTTTTCTTAATAAGATATAAGCATATTAGAAGTTGCGGATTACCCTCTTCTAAATTGATATTGTCCTCAAAATTTTCTTTGTTCTCAAGTCCTCTCTTCTATTTGTCTT